GTACCGAGAATGCAACCTCCCCGGCGATTGGGTTATTGCATTGAGCCAAAATGGATGGACAAATAACCAGCTAGGTCTTGACTGGCTGAAGCACTTTAATAAGTCTACAGCTAAGCGAACGAACAGTCGCTATCGCCTCTTGATCCTCGATGGTCATGAAAGTCATCACTCTGTCGAATTCGAGAGATATTGCAAGGACAACAAGATCATTACCCTCTGTATGCCTGCTCATGCATCTCATCTACTGCAGCCTCTTGATGTTGGGTGCTTTGCAGTGCTTAAGAAGGCATATGGGCAAGAGATAGAGCATCTGATCAGATGCTCTATAACCTACATTTCCAAGACCGAGTTCTTTGATGCCTTTTACGCCGCTTTTAAAGCTACTTTTATTGAAAGAAATATATGAGGAGGCTTCAGAGGGGCCGGGCTTGCTCCCTTTGACCCTGAGCATGTTATCTTGAAGCTTGATGTGCAGCTACAGACCCTATCGCCTCCAAAAGAGGCAGCTGAACCTTCCACTCCTTGGACTTCAAAGACCCCAACGACAGCAAATGAGGCTCAATCTCAGACTGAATACCTAGAGAGTCGAATCAGAAGGCATCATAGTAGCTCTCCAGAGTCAATTATTGAGGCTATCCAGTCTCTTACTAAGGCAGTAAAGAGAACTATGTATGAGACTACCCTTATGAGAAATGAGATCCGAAACCTTCGCGAGGGAAATGAGAAGCTAAGCCGGCGCCGAAGGTCAAAAAGAACTAGGTTACAGAAAGGAGACCCTACAACTGTAGAGGAAGCATCACAAGTAATTGATCAGATAGATGTTGATATGCAGGTAGTGGGCGAGTCATCGAGAAGTGGTGGTCGAGGAAGGTCGGTCGGACCGGGTATTCGGCGATGTGGTGTATGCGGCAAGACCGGGCATAATGCAAGGACCTGTCAGGTAGTTCCGGAGGCATCCGGAGAAGAGTATAGTGAGTGATTTTAATTGATCAGATAGGTTATTGTAGTTTTGTTATGTAAATAATGAAAGGGGTAGGGAAAAGTGCGTCGCTCGCTTATCTGCGTCGCTCGCTTATCAAATACGTTATTATATAACTAGATTAACTTAATAGAATTATTAAAAACCTTATTAGCCTAGGCTATTTATAACTTAAGGGATTAATACTAAGCCTTGTACTTATAATTTAACTTAATTTCCTTAAGAAAAAAAGTAATTTTATTATAATAGATATTACAATTATGTGTCACATCTGCTGAACGTTGACGAGACCCAGACGATAACAGTAACTGGTGAGCACTTCTCGCGCTTCTTTGTGCATTCCGTGACGCTCTCATCCTGTCAACAGAGAAAGGAGTTTGATGCAGCTCAAATGGCAAGTGGACGGCCCCCAAGCTTCCCTCCCTATCCTCCCATCTTCCAGCATTGGCTTGATACCGCTGCCTTGGCTGTGTCCGTTTTTAGTCGTCATCTGAACTATTTCTTCGTATTATCAGCCCTTTGCGCGACAGAAGGTTTGTTCACTTCGGTCTGCCTTCTAACGTTGTGGTCGCGGGCCGGATCTATCATCGCTTGTTGAATCTGTCGAGTGGCTATCAAAGCATACGCTGGTTCCTCTACGATGAGGCGGCTCGGTCGGATAAAAGGCGCTGACTACGAAGGTGCCCTTGACGGCTATTCACCATGTTGAGCGACTGATCCGTTTTGTCAATCCATATCTCTCGAGCATTTACCACGCCCTGCAGCAGGTGCCCTCCGAAGCCAACCATTAGCCGTTGAGTTGAGAGAATGTTCGGCCAGTGGAGAAATTGAGGCGATCATCAACACGTAGAATCTCAATACCGTGGAATGCCGCAAGGTGGTGTTCTTTGGTCACGGCGGCCGGATGCAATTTGTACACGTCCTCTCGCGGCACTACGAGCCCTTTCAATCTGCATTGTTGTTTCCTCACGGAACACCTGTCTGGAGTGTTCCTGATCTCGGCGATGCCTTATTAGGAGAGGCAGGCGCGACGGCCGCGGGAACTGACGCACATATGCGTATACCTGATACTTGTGGACTATCCTATCTCAGCTACAGTGCTGTTCATCGAAGCTTTTGGCGGAGCCCTGATTCTTGACTTTCGGTCGTCTCACGTATAATTACCTATTTGATATGTACTTGAGAATCAAAGAGGTGAAACTCGGCTATTTCAGATGGGCGAGGTCGGTAAAATCGTCCGGTTTTGACCCTGCTACCGATTCACTTGCGTATGACTACCTCTGCAACATATTACCAGCCAACTTTATCGGCTCGGGCGCGTGGACGTCAGATCATGTTGCGGACGCTTTGGCCCTGGCTCGAAACGCGGAGGCCGTGTCTTGGCAAATGCTGACATTCAGATCCCAAAATCTCACCACGTCTGCGAATAGTAAGCAGATGCTTCCCAAAGGGGTATTCTCGGAAAACAATCTTACTTTAATTCTCGCTCTTTTATTTACCGCACGCTTATCGATCTAATCATTGACTTTTGCTTCTAGTCGCGCTTCTCTGATCTTTTATTTTACAAGTACTGAGCGATTTAAGTATCCGCCGGTAAGAACCTTGTTACGATGGAACAGTTTGATCTTGTTGTAGTCGGAGCCGGTAAGCAGCTACCCTTGTGCCCGAGTGAGAACTTTCTGATGATTTGTGTATTTACTAAATGACAACAATCAAGGCTACTACGGTCTCGGCGCCGCGAAGCAATATCACGTCACGCATCCAAACGACTCTTTAGCTGTATTCGACGTCAACGCCTCGGTGGGCGGTGTCTGGTCAAATGAGCGCGTCTACCCTTGCCTGAGATCTAACAACCTGTTGGGAACCTACGAATACCCAGACTTTCCAATGACCACTAAACGATTTGGTGTAGAGCTAGGAAACTATATTCCTGGAGAGGTAATGCATGAGTATCTTGAAACTTACGCACGTGAGTTCGGCATTGATAAGCATCTGAGGTTGAGCACAAAGGTTGTTTCGGCTGAGCACAAAGTCGAAGGTGGATGGCTTCTTGAAACTCAAAGCGCCAAGGACGAGCGAAAGACACCAACGAAAGTCTTTGCCAGGAGGTTGATCATTGCGACGGGAATGCTATCTGAACCGTTTATGCCTCATATCCTTGGCCAGGAGGAATATGACAGGCCACTCTTTCACAGCAAAGACTTTCAGAAATACAGAGACACCATCAGCACTGCTAAGCGTGTCACTGTCTTTGGAGGAACCAAGTCTGGCTGGGACGCCGTCTATGCGTATGCCATTAATGGTGTCAAGGTTGATTGGATAATACGACGTAGGGATTTCCCATTGTCAAAAAACTTGTACTGATCGTGCTGTCTTTTAGCAACCGGACACGGTCCAGTTTGGATGTCACCATCTTTTGTGACGCCTTTCAAAGTGTGGATCGAGAAGCTCGTTAGTAAGTTCTCAAAATGCTTGTATTAATGGCAGATTCCTTGTCTTTATATCTGACTTCTTTTTGAGACATCCGTTGGCTTCACTGGTTCGCTCCATGCATCTGGGGCCAAGACAGCGGCTACCACGGTATCAAATCATTCTGGCACGGCACTGCCATCGGTAGATTAATCACCAATGCTTTCTGGGGTATTCTGGCCCAAGATGTGATCAACATCATGCACTTCGACACGCATCCTGAGCTCAAAAAGCTTAAGCCAACGGCATCCGCCATGCATACCGGCACAGCTTTTGGTATCTTTAATTATGCGACCGACTTTTACGAGCCTATACGCAATGGTACTGTGAAGATCCACGAGAAGGATCTGTCGCATCTTAGTGAGGGCAAAGTCTACCTTGATGACGAGGATGGAACAATTCTTGAATCAGACGCTTTCGTCGCGGTTACTGGTTGGAAGTCATTCTCTCCTCTCAAGTTCCTGCCCGAGGGAATCGATAGAAAGATTGGCCTTCCGCATGTCCTAAATGCCAGCGATGAGGGTTGTCTGCCTGACGAAGATCTTGCTGCTCAGAATGCGCTTGTTGACCGGGCTGATAAAGAGATTCAGGAACGATTCCCAAGTCTCAAGACGCCAATGAAGTTTAACCCAAATTACAAGCGTCTCACCGAAACAAAAGCCTTCAGTATGAATTCTTCTGATGTCTCACCGCGCACACCTCTGATGCTCTACCATTTCATGGTCCCCGGCACCGCCGAGTTTCTGCGCACCAAAGACCTTGCTTTTACGGGATACTCGACCAACTTCAGTAATGGTACCTGTGCGCATATTCAAGGCCTATGGATTAGCGCGTTCTTTGACGGCAAACTGGCGCGAGACCCCAGCTCAGCTGTCGCTTCAGAATCCGAAAGCAAGAGTGGAAGTGGCAAGGCCATGTCGTTAAGTGAAGTTCATTGGCAGACAATTCTGCATAATCGGTTTGGCAAGTGGCGATATCCAAAGGACACGGGATCCAAATCGCCCGATTTTATTTTCGAAGCTGTGCCGTTTATGGATATGATGATGGCGGATTTGGGGTTGTTAGTGCATCGGAAGAAGGGATGGTTCAAGGAGATGACTGAGCCTTATGGACCTGAAGACTATGCAACAATTAACGAAGAGTTTGCTACTAGATTTGTTTAATTAGTAGACAGCACAAAGAATGTACCCGACTTTGATATGGTTAATGGAGGATTCAATACAAGGTTCCTACAGGGTATTAGTGACTAGCCGAGTTTGACAGAATTAGAGTTGGCCATATCACTACAGGAAGTGACCACATGCGAGTCTGTATTGCAATTGTCCTAGAATTTACAAATAAGTAAGACATAAATTCAGGATTATAATCCAAATCGTAATCAATCATTCCAAGTCCCTGTTACTCCCCTTATCATACCTATCCGTTAGCCCCGGATGCCCGGCACCAGCTTATCTGCGAGCAACCATTTACCTTCCTAATCAGGTAGGTCATATTTCCCAACGGTGACATTGAAACTACCAACGATATGCAGACAAGCTATCATTCGCCATCTATCTGTCGCAATAGTCCCAAAGAACTGTTCTAGAACTCCACAGTCGTTCCATCAGCAAGATACGTAGATGATCCTTCAGAAACTGATCTAACTATTCAGGGTTACCTCCCCTCTTACAAAGACATTACCTTGTTGGTAGTCTGGGGTAAAACAGGAGCTGACGGAACCCCTGTGGTTGACATTTGGCCATTTCTGGTTTCGCCAATTAAACAGCCCCCGAAACGCCTTCCTATCTGCACCACTCAACTGTGGCGTTGGTAGGAACAAAAGGCCGCGACAAATGTCCTTGATAAGAAGGTCGATCGTCGCAATTTGTCGTTTTGGTGTGGTATGGGTGGTCAGATTGTAAAATAAGCATCCTCTACCAACACGAGCCATAACTTCCAACAGCCAATACTTTTTCAGAGATTAACAAACGTAACATGAGTCCTAATTATCTGCACGCCGAGAAAAGATCTTGATACGCCAAGAGGCCAAGCCGATCTTCCTTCTTGGCTGTCTTTCAGTCGCCTTCAACAGTCTATGTAACGTATGCGCCATAAACAAGGGTCCCGTGCTGTAATCACACAATGGTTCTAGACCACCCTACCTCGGACGACAAGATAGTATCGAGAAGGTCCCCCGTGCATTAGCGTTAGCAAAGCTTATCTTAAGCTTGATTGTTTTGTGCTTAGCGTAGAGCTGGGCTTGGCACATAAAGTCTGGGAAGGCCAGCAAGCAGTCTCAGAGTTGTATTCCCGAGCTTCTTTTGTATCTATTGACATTTTATACTGTTGAATATAGACTGGGAAATTCACCATGTCTTCAACACCACCCCACAAAGATGAAGTCAAGGACGAAACCACCGTCGCGTCCCCTCACGACGAGGAGCTCGGCTCAAGCAATGGTGAAGGCCAGCTGAAGCGCCATCTGCAGAACAGACACATGCAGATGATTGCTATCGGAGGAGCCATTGGAGCTGGTCTTTTCGTCGGATCTGGAAGTGCCCTTCACAAGGGAGGTCCAGCAGCGCTTGTCATCGGTAACTACTCTGTTTATCGCATCATCAAGACACTATGCTAACAGGTTACAGGATGTAAGATATTCCCATCGATCGATCGCTTCACCACTAACATAGACAGACCTCATTATCGGAATCATGCTTCTCTGCACCAACCTCGCCCTCGCTGAAATGGCTGTTCTTTACCCCGTCAACGGTGCCTTTTACACGTACATTGTTCGCTTCGTCGATCCATCATGGGGTTTCGCCTGTGGTTGGGAATACGCCTTGTCATGGCTCACAGTTCTTCCTTTTGAGTTGATCGCTGCTTCCAAGACTATTGACTTTTGGCGTACCGATATTCACATGGTAAGTACTCAATTACAGATCAAGTAAAGTCGACGTTAAAGATCTGTCTTGGCATCTCTTGGCGCATCTTGGCATATTCAGCCCTAAAATATTTTCCGGAAATAAACTAACAATGACTAGGCTGTTTGGGTTTCTGTATTCCTCGTCGCTCTCACAATCGTTCAAATCTTTGGTGTTCGTGGATACGGAGAGGGTAAGACAATCTCAAATCCTTTATATCGCAATACTGACTCCTGTAGTCGAATTTGTTCTGTCAGCCATCAAGATTGCTGCTTGTTTGGGCTTCATCATCCTCGGCATCATCATCAACTGCGGTGGTGTAGGTGATCAAGGTTACCTCGGTACCAAATACTGGCATGACCCCGGTGCTTTCACCGATTTCAAGGGTTTCTGTGCTGTATTTGTCGTCGCTGGTGAGTATCTCCCGTCTATACATGCCACCCTTACTAACACCCCCAGCCTTTGCCTTCGGTGGTACTGAAATGGTCGGTCTCGCTGCCGCTGAAACAGCTGACCCTCGCAAGTCCGTCCCTACAGCCTCCAAGCAAGTCTTTTGGCGTATTGCTCTCTTTTACGTCATCAACCTGTTCATCGTAGGAACCATTCTTCGTTCAGACGATACCCGACTCCAAGGTGCTTCTGGTGCCAACACCAAGTCGTCACCTTTCGTCCTTGCCATTCAAGATGCAGGTATCAAGGTTCTGCCATCCATCTTCAACGCTGTGATTACAATCTCCGTTTTGTCCGTGGCGAACACATGTACCTTTGGTTCAACACGTACCCTGCAGGCTATGGCTATGAGAGGTCATGCTCCCAAGTTCCTCAACTACATTGATGGCAAGGGACGTCCTATCTACTGTGTCATCATTCAACTTGCCTTTGGTCTGTTGGCCTACATTGGAGAGTCCCCTAATGGCGGTACCATTTTCGATTGGCTGCTTGCCTTGTCAGGTCTCGCATTCCTCTTCGTTTGGGGAACCATCTGTCTCGCACACGCCCGAATGAGATCCGGCATGAAGGCTCAAGGAGTTAACATGAACTTGATCCCGTACAAAACTCCTTTCGGTGTCTGGGGTAGCTATCTCGGCGTTTTCCTCAATGTCATTGCTCTGATTGCCACTTTTTACTCGGCCCTTTATGTAAGTCACATGGTCCAAACCCAAAGCTTGGGTTACATCGTGCTAACTGTGTCTCAGGCTGCTGATGGCTCGCCGCCCAACGCTGAATCCTTCTTCATGTCCTTCTTGGCTGGTCCCATCATTCTTGTCCTGTACCTTGGTTACAAGGTGTACTCTCGGGATTGGAAGTTGTACGTCAAGGCCATTGATATGGATCTTCAGACTGGTATGGTCTTGTTGGATGAGGAGATTCCTGAGGTGCCAAAGACTTGGGCTACCTTGCCTAGACGTATTCTCTCGGCTGTTATCTAGTCGCCTAGGGTGTTTGGATAAGCAGTTTAGGTTTACATTGTAACCTTTTATCGACCTGTCATAGTTGCATATACATATTTGTACATTTATCAGCTGTTTGACTTTTTAAATAATATCGGTTCTTCAAACGACCTCTTACTCTTCCCCAGCTTTCCCCGCAGATCGACGTGAATTTATCCCTTTTCGTAGAGTAATCTTACATCCCCAGATTTTCACTGGAGCGCGTATTTCCACCCTGCAGTCAAATCTTACGTCCGAGTCAACCCATGTCTCGTTTAGCCTGAGTTGCTCAGAAGGTCAGAACCAACCACTTAAACCTCTTTCAGGCTGAATTCAAGATTTAACCACCTGCGGGGGAAAGCCTCCTACTAAGTTTCACTACCAAATTGTCCGTAGTTTGTTTCGCCTGTTATTTAACGGCTCTTCATTTAGCCGAGATTCATTTGCCCGACGTGGTAATACAATGTTACAATACGACGTTTCATGTCTTGGCTGGTTGACATATATAACAAATGCACCGCTCTTTTCTTGCCAAGATGTTTTTGTGTATGATACCTGAACTTGTTTGTCAATATCTTTATTGACTCCTACAAAGACGCCAAGATGGGTGGAGCACCGACTACTGTTGGCACTTATGATGCTGCCCTTCAACGACGACAGGCCCTTATGGGCGCCAGTGGTGCCAGAGCCCTGGTAAAGAACTGGAAGGTTTTCCGAATTGCTGCGTTTGCCTGTATTGGAGGTATTCTTTATGGTTACAACCAGGGAATGTTCTCGGGTATTCTCGTCATGAAATCTTTCGAGAGACGTACGGTTACCATTCTCATAGGAATTTCATCAGCTGACTTGTGCAGATATGGGCGATTATGTCAAGAATCAGACCAAAAAGGGTTGGCTTACATCTATTCTTGAGCTTGGTGCTTGGCTTGGTACTTTGATGTCTGGTGCTATCGCCGAGTTGTGTTCCAGAAAATACGGTATCCTCATCGCCACAAGTGTTTTCATTATTGGTGTGATCATCCAGGTTACTGCTATTGAAGTTGGACACAATGCTATTCTGGCCGGTCGTTTTATCACGTAAGATATTCGAGCTTACCTGATTCATTAGCTAACTTCTACAGGGGTATGGGAGTCGGTAGTTTGTCAACTATCGTTCCTCTGTACAACTCGGAATGCGCTCCTCCGTAAGTCTGTCACCGATGCTCTTGACTTAGACTAATATTCAAAAGTGAGGTTCGTGGTGCTCTTGTAGCTCTTCAGCAACTCGCCATTACCTTTGGTATCATGGTTAGTTTCTGGATCGACTAGTGAGTTTCCCTGCCCACCCTCTGGCCATGCTAACATCAACAGTGGAACTCACTTCATCGGAGGTACCGGCGAGGGTCAATCCGACGCCGCTTGGCTCATTCCTATTTGCCTCCAACTCGGGCCAGCTATCATTCTCTTCGCCGGAATAATGTGGATGCCCTTCTCTCCTCGATGGCTTACACACCATAACAGAGAAGAAGAAGCTCGTCAAGTCTTGGCCAACCTTCGTGACCTTCCTACCGACCATGAACTTATTGAGCTAGAATTCCTTGAAATCAAGGCTCAGTCCCTATTTGAGAAGAGGAGTTTGGCAGAGAAGTTCCCCCATCTTCAGGAACAAACTGCCATGAACACCATTAAGCTTCAATTTGTCGCTATTGCTGCTCTCTTCAAGACAAAGGCCATGTTTAAGCGTGTCATTGTCGCAACAGTTACTATGTTCTTCCAGCAATGGACTGGTATCAATGCTGTATGTCATCGTATTACTCACTGTATGATTCAAAGCTAACAATAAAAGATCCTTTACTACGCCCCACAGATCTTTGGGCAGCTCGGTCTAAGCAGCAACACTACCAGTCTTCTAGCAACTGGAGTCGTCGGTATTGTCATGTTTTTCGCTACTATACCAGCTGTCTTGTGGATCGATCGTCTCGGTCGTAAACCTGTATTGGCTGTCGGTGCCATCGGTATGGGTCTTTGTCATCTCATCATTGCTGTTATCCTCGCCAAGAATATTGACCAATTCGATACTCACCCTGCTGCTGGTTGGGGCGCCATCTGTATGGTTTGGTTATTCGTGGTTCACTTTGGATGTAAGTCGAGATTGTTATTCTGATCGTACATCACTGACTCTTCTAGACTCTTGGGGTCCTTGTGCTTGGATCATCATCGCCGAGATTTGGCCTCTCAGTACTCGACCTTATGGTGTGGCACTTGGTGCTTCAAGTAACTGGATGTAAGTATCTCGAACTCCACAGACCACTGGCATATCTAACGTTTGTAGGAACAACTTTATCGTCGGTCAAGTCACGCCTGATATGTTGGAAGGTATCACATACGGAACCTACATCTTATTCGGCCTCTTGACTATGATTGGTGCCGCATTCATCTGGTTCTTTGTCCCAGAGACTAAGCGTCTATCACTCGAGGAGATGGTATGTACTTCTACTCCTTTAACAACCAACGCTAACTGTTTAGGACATCATCTTTGGATCCGAGGGAGCTGCTCAAGCTGACAACGAGAGAATGGCCGAGATCAACAGAGAGATTGGTCTCGATGATCTCATTTACCGCTCGGGACCAGTTCATTCTCATGAGGATGTCAACGATGTTAAGGAGGGTTGAAGATTATTAGAGATCAATAAGCTCCGAGGATGTTAATTATACTGCCAATGCTTCATCATAGTCACAGGCTGTTCCAGACTACTATTCATAGGAAATATTGAAGCAGTATGTTTCCTTTCAAGACCAGCTTAGTATTGAGAGCCAATATTAGCCTGAGTTCTTTCCATCCTTCGTTGCTATCCTGAGTGGTTACTGCTTTAACCTGAGCCAATCCTGGGCTGTGGGTGAGTTTGTATAAGAAGTAGGGTTCTTATTTCCAACCGCAGCTTTTGAATGTGTGGGAGCACAAGGTATTTAATTGAATAAATCTAAATAATACGTGAATTACAGTCATCTATTTAGATAAAGCTTAGAGAGGAATAATACGGATTATCAAGACAGAAGAGATGTTAGAAGAGGCCAGAATTAATTAATTTAATCAATTAACAAGATCAGTTCATGTGCAGTGAATTACATGCATCTTCGCAGCCGAGTTACCCTATACCTAATACCAAGGCTATCGTCATCCCGCTGTGCGCAGATGCCAGCCCCACGTAGATCTAGCAACCATTCCCGTTCAAGGCAAAGAAACAATATGTGGAGCTATAGCATTCCATTTCATCGTTTACAGACCAATAGCCTTCTCTCTCAATGGGCCTTAATTTATATCAAGGATCCCAGGAATGTATCTTAATTTATATCAAGGATCCCAGGAATGTATCTTAATTGATCAAGGACATAATGTAAAACAATCTGAAGAAGACTGTGAGTAAGACAAACCCGATTAAAACATTTAGCCACGAAGGTTAACCAACCTAATTTCTTAATAATCCTTCTTAGTTACATCACATTCCTATTCATGGTGGCAACATTGTTAAGGGAGGTTCTCGATCTATTGTTTGTCTCAAGCTGAAACTCGAAGGAGGCAGGCTACGGTAGAAACAATTTCTGCTCTCCCTCTTGTGAGACAGGCCCCAATAGAGTCGGCAGACCTTTCTGCAAGATACAAGTTTTCACCCTTCCTCGATTTCGTAAAGAACACGGCTCGGAATTATTAGAAATTTACTATTAAGGCTTTCACTACATCCCCGGAGATCAGTCACCTTTTATTGGTAACGGAGCATCACCATGCTTTTTTCTAACAACCGCGACGATAAATACTACATACATCCTGCTGTAACCTTCGATTTAACCACTTCCCGTCGTCCTGCCCCGATGGCCCGCCCCGAGGGCGCTACTGAAGCGCCGTCTGCATCCATCCCTAGTCACGCACAAGGCTCTTCCATGGCAGGCCATGCCCTTACAAGCTGGTCGGACGACGTATTACCGCGACCCATTCCTGTCCATACATCAACGCAGATCCAGGGTCTTCCACTTGTCTTCGCTTTGGAAGTCTCTAGTACCTGTGAGAGGGTCTTCCAGGAACAAAAGAACACAGTATCATATATGGCCTCGAAGCTTGAACCCAAGGAACTTGCACACCAGTCTTACATCTTACCTTGGGATCGTCAAGCTCATGACCCAGTACCCGTACATCTGATTGAGAACCTTCAACATAGCGTTGGATCGAATCCATCCACCATTTTCGAACATTGTCTTAGTCGAAGATACCTTGAACAGGCCAAAATCTGGTTCCTCATGACGGATGGTGTAATTGAAGAGGAGCGTGCTAACACCTTTACGAATAACATCACGGGAGCGGGATTGCATGGTACACCATCCGTCATCATCGTCTTTGGAAACAGGTCTCGTCCTCCTTCTCGAAACAAATTCTCAATTGGCATGTCTCTCAGTGCACCATCGCCGCACTGTGCTGTTCTTTTTCACGACATATGGAGTGGTGAGCTGTTCGTCGTTCAAGCCAAAGGATGCTTCGCCAGTGTGCTTCCTAAAGGTTCCTACTTCAAGTGGTTTAGTGGAACCAGATGGGCAGACTTTCCACAGATCTCCTACGATAAGCTGCTGAATGTCCGAGTTCCCGAGCCAGTTCGACTCTCCAAAGATGAAGTGTCCCTGCCTTACGCCAAGGTATTCGATATGAAGTTCATCTACAACGACTCCATGAGCGACCAGGATAAACTTCAACTGGTGTCAAACAGCTCAGCCCTGGATTCGATAATGGTCGTTGCCAAAACGAGAGGAGAAGGATTCCTGGTGAAGCTGTGGATTGAGAGCCTTCGCAGAACGACAAGAAAATGCCTGACCATAGAGAGAGATGATGTCGACTCCCGAGGGAAGATTGTCATGACATTTCTACTGATGGCAGCTGAGCAAGAGCTGAAAATACAAGATACTCGCCACAAAGACATTTGGTCTTGTTTGAAATCTGTCTCGTCTCCTCGTTGGTCCAGATGTATGCAAATGCATGTACCAAACCTCGTAGACTTTAATCGCTCGAGAGTCCGACTTCAGAACAGCAAAAATTGGGCCAACTTCGAAGCCAAGGTGGAGATGGAACGAGCGGCATTCAGACGTCTCACCAAAGGTCTACAAGAGGTCCAGTCAACGATGGGGATACTTGGTAACCCTTTGCCAAATGGTCCAAGCCTCGTCCCGGCTGACACCTTTTGGTACTCCGCTAGTGGAATAAGGACTGGGATAGGGAATAAGAAGCTTTCGGCATCTGTTCAACCAGACAAGTTCGACATCAACAAGGAAACATTTCTCTCTGGCTTCAAGGGCACCCGAAAGCTTGAAAAAGCTGCACGGTCAAGGGCATACGCCACCTGTCCGGTATGCCGAGAACCCAATTCGATCCAAACATTGCTACTACGAACAAGTCCAGAGGACAACAAAACTCCACACCTTCCGTTGCCGAACGAAAGGCTCGAACTGAAATATCCCTTGGCGTTGGGAGATTACCCAGAGCTTGATATCATTCTTCCAATTACATGCTGCGATGGATGCGCATTCCTCTTCTCGAAGGTTGACAGGCGACTCAATCCTCTTCCAATTAGCGATCAGATCGCTGCGGCACTTCCACTTGTATCGCTCCAGGACAAACATAATCGAAGGCTGTGGAGGCAGAAACTCGCAGAGGTATACAGATGCCGCTTCCACGATAGAAATGTTCTGTCTGTCTTCCTTGCCACCATCTGCACCAGAATTGAGAATGTCCCCAGCTTGGCACATTCAAAGTGTCTCAAATGGTGCAGAGACGAACTCTCCCAGCTTCCAGGGATCCAAATACCCAAAAGCGCCAGTCCAAAACTCGTCACTAGTCTTCCATCAACAGTCGATAATGTGGTTCCGCCGCAACAGGTGGCCTTCTTTGCATGCCTAGGAAACAAATTCTATCTCAAGGCAGTTTTGTCGCAGCCGGTTGAGGGGTTCGTCGTTCTCGTTCAGCTAGCGGTATCGATGAATGTTGTTAAACCAGAGTCTATTCGGAACTTGGTTTGGAAACGGCTTTTATGTCATTTCATAGAACAGGATTTGCGCTTGCGAACTAATTTTGGGGTTGAATACGCCCATGTGTTGTTGCGGGAGATTACACAAGAATCTCGGTCTTCTAGCCAAGGGTGTCATGGCAAATTCGCTGTAGCTCTTTCAAAGCCACGAACATCTGTCTCACTGACTTCACTTGTCAATACCTACCTTGTCCTGCCAGGATCGACCGCCATATCGCACTTCTTTCGTATAGCCTGCTTCGGGGAAGTATATAGTATGACCGAGTACAACGCAGCACTAGCAATGTTCTTACATATGCTGGCCAGCATTAGATATCAGGGCCAGGAGGCAACAGATGTTTTGGAAGAGATGCAGGGCGTGGCAAATAAACTTCGCCACGTTGGAGAGGACATGAGAAGTGTTTTTGAGGATCCAACGTCTGTTAACGAGCCTGGAGCCGCTTATGTCATTGTCCATTTAGAGTCTTGGCTAAAGTACATTGTGTCAAGAAACTAACCTATTTTTGGGCCTGTCATTTACAGAGGTGTTTGTTTGATTATCATTACCTATTTAATACCACATATAATCACTTACTTATTTTCAGCCGAGCCATTCTGTCCTCGTTGTCTGTTTACTGCCTGGAGCATTGAAAGTAATTTGCAGGCATGGTTGTTGGTTAGGCTAAGTTCTCTGCGGCAGGGCTTAGCGCCAAATGCACCCTGAACAGCCCACTATAATGGTGACTAGGCAGCTGGGCAGTCAGCGATAACCCCTGTAGCAGCTTATTACCACTGACAGCTAGCTAGTGAAACAACCGCTGTCAGATGAGAATACGGTGTCATCAGCCAACACGTCATCAGCGACATTATAAATCCTTCAAAAATCCACAATCTCACTCCTCCAACAAGATCAAATCTGATGAGAAATGTCACACCTCGCAGCCAGATCATATTCCACTATTTTTCTACCCCTCGTGTTGGCCTCTCTTTTCGCATTCGGGAGCGCATGGCCCGAGGCGGCACCACCATGGACAGATAAAGATCCTTGCCCTTCGATTATTCGCGCAAGAGTACCATCCCAAAGGCCATTCGGTACATGGAAAGCTGTACACGATGCTATGAAATCATGCAGCAATATAACTGAGCTCGATCTGAGAATGATAGGGGCAAGTTGCACAGAGTTTCCAGATGGTTATAATCTACCTTTCAGGTCGGACGGGAGCGATCGATATCTCTCAGCGCCAGAAATACTATCCATATATAACTACGAATTTCATACAACTGAGTGGGAAGACATACGGTCAGGAATACCCCATTGGGCCAATGACGATGGCTCATGGCCTGTGTCAAATTCCACAAACTCTGTTATGAGGTGGGCAACAGACATGTTTTATCACAGCCGATGGAAGTGGGATCAGCTGTCCAGCGAATATAAACATGCCGTTGGTTTGGCACATTATCCTCCATGGCAAGGTCTCAGAATGGCACGACGATGGTATGATCAACGACATACAACGATTGAGAGGTTATCAATGGAAAACATGCAGCTCTGGCTGGAAGCTATGGACTTCTCTAAAGTGCACACTTTATCAATCGAGTATGGAGGTATTAAGCCGGAAGGAAACGGTTTACTCGTTGACCTTCCCCCAGCATTGACAAGTCTCGAAAATCTCTCTATCCAGGGCCGGTGGTTAAATTGGCGAACATATCTTGCCGAGTGGGAAGCTGCTCCTGAACCATTACCCAAGAACAAATGGTCTTCTTCGCCGCCCCCTCCAGCACGCAATTTCATCTTGGCACTACCTCAAACATTGAAGAAGTTCACCTGGAAAGAAAGTGAAACAGTCCAAGAGGATATATTTGACTCTGTTTTGAAGCATCATGGAGCCTCGCTACAACATCTAGAGTGGACAAACCATGAGAGAGGATTCAAACCCAGACCAATATTGTCTGAGGATCAGCTCCGCAGTCTGGGAAAATGGGCACCTGGTTTGACCAGTGCCACCATTGATCTTGAACGAAGAAATGGGACCTTGCCGCAAGATGAGTTGAACATTCTTGCTGAGACTTTACCCAAATTGACAAGGCTGGTTGTTAACTTAAACTTGCTGGAGGAAGGGCTACTAATGAACAATACTGGCTATGGAGATAAGATGAAACATGCATCAGATTCAGTTTTAGACGTAGAAGAAGGTCTTGGCTTATTTCAAGGTCTAAGAAAGGCCAAGGTTGGCGAAAGGTTGGTTAATGTCGAGTTCCGTCAGGGTGAATGGACTGATGATTGGCCTTTTGGAGAAGGTCTTTGGGAGGATAGATATTGGGTCAGGTGTTGGTTGGCTGAAAAGGATGGGGGACTAGAGGCGAGGTGTAAATCGGGACGTGAGAACGCCTTTGACGCTGACTTCTGATTAAATATAGAATGTGTGCCTGAGGCAAGCCTGAGCTCCTACCTATAAAGTGGCGATGATATATCATTGATGTTTGTTCAGCATGCCAAGCAAGGCCAAGTCTTTTGCATTAAGACAAAGGAGAGGGAGGCCATATTGATTTGTTCGCCTACAGGCCTTGCTAGTTTCCTCAATACACACTACAGCACACCCACTTCCATCATTACTACCTCGACCAATTTTATGGAAGTGTATGGTGATACTGTTGGTTCCTGCTATCATATCTGGTCTTCATCGCTCCCTTTATTATACTAGGTTGGCCTTCGACGCGTCTCGTTGAGCTCTTTCATCAATTCTTATTCACGTTGATCCCCTCATCTGTAACATCCAACTTCACACTTTGCCATGCGCTCAGCGCGGCCCCATCAACAGCTTCCTCAAGAGACTTACTGTTGTTTCTGGTAATTTCTTTATAACTTAACTGTGATCTTGATCTTGATTTGTGACAGCTCGGGGCCATTGCAAAATGCGCTTGATAACTGGGACTGCAACTCCATCGCGGATCCAACAATCGACGAGTCGGTTCCCGCAGAGGTTACCATTTCGGAACGAGATGGTGCTGTTTGGGAACAATGCGTCTGTATAACACCTGAGGCTCCTGAGACGTTTGTGTCTCCTCCTTGGTAACGTTACCCGTGTTCACATGTAAGCCGTATGCTAATATACGCCGCCGTCCGCGATGTCGATGACTTTCGTAATGCTTATGTCGATGGGTGGGATGAAGAATTAATCGCTGGAGAGGATAATCTCTTAATCCATCCAGTTTGTCTGGCATTCATATGTCGGCATAACGACATAACCGCAAAACAACTATGGGGGGCCATTTTCGACCACGACAATGCCAAATGGTCACGTACGGGCCAAATAGACGGTGTCTGTTACTACGAGATTGAAAAGAGATGTCAAACCCTCTTCAATTATGATGCATATGCAGAAACATCGCACGATTTAGGATGGTTACTAACGAGGCCGACGTGTCTGCCTGCACCAAAAGAGCTCCAGCTTGTGGTCACCATGGGCCCGGCTTTGGGATCTGGGCATAAGGTATTTGATATCCCCGAGTTATTCGGTTATATCCTTCAATATGTTATCGATGTGCCGCTCGCCGATATCGAATCTGAGCTCAAAGCTAACCTACCCGAAATCCACCAGCCCAAAGCCAGCCGTAGGATATTCGAAGCTCCATCGGCTATTACCGCAGCCAAAATCCTGCTTTCCCTAGTCCAAGTCAATCGATCATTCTATCACGCGATAGTGAGCATCCGACAAGATCTCTTTTTGCAAGCAATGCAGAACTTTGGATGGATGCTTCCCTTCACACCAGCCGATTGGATTGATAGCGAGTGGCCGGATACGGTTCTAAGAGGCAAAGCTGTTCCGATGGGTCCCACCATTGACTGGCGTGCTTATATGCTGGATTGCCTCTGCAAGAGGACTCCGGGCATTCGTAACCGATGGAGGTTACATAAGGTGGCAGTACAGTTTGCTCACTATCGGGAAGCAGGAAGCTTAGCGTTCAAACCTGATTTGAAAAGGGCGGAAGCAAAAGGTTGGGAGGTTGGTGTACGCTGGTGGTAATGAAGGAAGGGAAGCTAAGACCTCAAGTCACATCCTAATGTACGATACTTAACTAGCCAGTTCTAATACGACGCTCACGGTGCTTTCATTCTTGTAATGAATACTTGGTACAGCCTGTATAAAATTGTATTCAGTATACTAGCATTTCGAGTTATCTAACTTCCAATCTTTGCTCACTCGTATGTAGAAACTCCATGTCCTCTACTTATACTCCTGAGCCTTCTTTCGCTTTTCCTCACAATCCTTGCACTCCTCAATGAAGCTAATGGCTTCAATCGTGTCAATGTTACCACAGTCTCCGAGGACTCCATCATCCTTCAGAGCCTTGTCGCAGGGTCGTTCGATATGTGTGACTGGTCCAATTGTCTTCTCGCAAACCCGGCACTGCTTCTTGTCCTCGACCTTGACGCACATTTTGATGGCTGTTTGATAGATAGTAGTTTATAATTTGTGGTTATTTAGTGGAATGTTTTGATCGTTGTATGCTTTAGTTAATGTATGTGTTTGATGTATGAGTTTGGGTTTGAGTTTGGAGTAGATTAATGGTTAATTTATAGTCGATTTCAACAGACAGTTATTCAGCTCCTAGACTTCATGAAGCATTGAATGTTTGAAGATATTTGAGTGATACAGTTTGTTAGTTGTTGGTGTTCAAGTATATAAACTTCAAATTGCCACGAGGATGATAATCCTATTTGCTTTCAACAGTGGGTGAATCAGATACCACGGGGTACATGTTGCCGTGACAGACGCCCCTGCACTTCACAGACATTAGATGACATCCCCTAGATGAGACAGCGAGGTCGTAACGCTGCTGTTCACAGCGCATTTCCACATTGCTCAGCATTATGATACATCTTGAGAGCTAAAGTAGGGTGTATTTGCCTTACTGGTTTCTAACTTGGTTGGCGACCTGGAGTACGATCTCACCTGCGACATTGCTAGCCTTGGAATTATGAATCTAACAATCTATATGGTCAGATTTCCACTGGCTAAAGATCGGCTAATTCAATCGGTACCTGAACTCCATGTGATGATATTGATTAATCACGCAAACCAGTGGAGACGCAGAAAGATCAACAGCTTCTTCAACCCCTTTGAGATTTATAGTGCGACTCTTAACAAAAGTCAGGGGCATCACTTCTGTCTTGCGTATTTAGTTCCACCTCATGATAAAATATAAGAGTCTTTCCAAGAGATGTTGCAATTATGAAGCGAATTTGTTTTGTTGGGATACAATATCCGTCTACCCTACTGTGCTTGGCATGTACGTTTTAATGGGTCTGATGCTCTTACTTGCCATTATGTACTCGTATAATGACTATGCTGGATACAAGAATATCTACCGAGGCTAACTGCCTGTCATGCCAATTACCTAGCTACTTTCCCCCCACGGTCTCCATTCAAGCTTGACAGAATCCTCCACTGCGATACGAACAATGCCACCAAGCAATGGCAAATCCTACAGACGGGCTCATGTAGCCTGTATGGCATGTAAAGCTCGCAAAGTCAGGTGTACCGTGACTTTGTCTGGACCACCTTGCGCTAATTGCATCGTTGACAACGTCCCTTGCGAAATCCAGACCCGTAAGCGGCGACGGTAAGTCCACATCTTCCCGAGGGTTCTAAATTGCTAACGAGGATAGAAACGGGGATATTCTGTCCCGCTCATCTGATGTGGGAACACCAGACAGCCCATTACCATTAGAACAGAGCCCCTCGTCGCCCACACCCCTCGTTTCACATAGCGGGAACCTTAGCCAGGTCAACCACGCTGCAGCAGGAGACCACGAGCCTCGTCAGTGGGCCTCGCTATCTGACAGTGACAGACACACTCCTCTAGGACAACCCCAATCGGCTCAGAATTCTTCCTCTGCTGCAGTTTCCCGAGAAGTCATTTTCGTTGGCAACAGCACAAATGATCACGAAAATGATGTAGTTCCAGACACAGATCTTGATGAATGTAGACAGACCGAAATCGTTAGTTCAAGGGCTTCAACACCTGTTGCTAATGCCACATCAGCATGGGCTGAAACACTTGAACAGCGTGAAAGTAGCGACAGTCGGGTGCCGTTTTACCCAGGTACGCAACCTATCCATAAGTCACTACAACCATCAAGTCTAACAGGAAACAGGTGATAAAAGAGGTCCGGCCTTCGTTATAGACATCTGCAGACCCCAGAGACAAATTAACAGCAATCATACTTTTGTTACATTGCCTCCATTAGACTATCTTCTACCGGAAGAAGTAGAATACCTTCGTTTCAAAGGTTGCTTTTCTTTACCACCTCAATCGCTAAGAGAAGCTCTTCTTCGAGCCTATTTCCATCATTCGCATCCTTTTGAACCAGTCTTGGATTCTCAAGACTTTTTCAACAATTACAGTAAAGGCAATGTCAGCTTGTTGCTCCTATGGAACATATTTATGTGCGCCGCAAGCGTAGGTCTTTGCATCATAGTGATGTGTACACATGGTAACAGGCATAGTTTGTTGACAACGATCTATTTTCGGCAAACTTTTACGACTCCCAACTAGCTTTCAAGCGAACCGCTTTCCAACGAGCAAAGGTGCACAAAAGATCAATATGCCTCTTAGTTTCGCTGCGACAGACTTCTCTAACAGACTGCACAGGCTTTGTACGACGCGGATTATGAGAAGAACAAAATTACACTCATTCAATCCGTGTTTCTTATGGGACACTTCTACGCTAATGCTGAAGATCGCATGGGTCCTTGGCACTGGAATGGAATCGCCATTAGCCTGTCTCATACCATCGGCCTCCATATGTTAACATCCCCAGCGCGAGACGGCATTCCACCTTTGTGGCGCCGTGTATGGTGGTGCATCTACTACCGTGAGGTTTGGCTATCGATGGGTCAAGGTCGGCCAATGCGAATATCGCTTGATCATTGCTCCACTCCCATGCTTGGATCATATGATACAAGTCCTGGCTCTTCCCCGGAGTTCGAACACTACTTACCTGAACAGCTTGGCACATTGCTAGGGATGTGGTTGAAACTAATTGGCGTAACGAGGGTCATGGGAGAGATATTGTCAAACAACTATGCCATAAGGGGAACAAGACCCTCTAGAGCCGTCATTGAGAGATATGAGAACGAGATTCATGCTAATTGGTATCCAGATGGAAACAGAGACCAGAGTCCAGTTTTGTTATCCCATTTGTATCAATTACGGCTCCAGACTCAGTAAGATTCTAATCATCACAACAAGTCACAGACTAACAAGTCGAAGAGCGGCCATCATAGCTCTTTACCGTCCATTTCTCCATGAGTCACCCGATGGAGTTCCAGTAGAGGAACATGATGCTTGGAAGACGCTTGTGAACAACAAGCTTCGGACGGCAGCTTCTCACGCGACCCATGCCGTCAATTGTATGATGGCGGAGGGTCTAATCAAGTTTTCTCAAAGCATCAGGTACGTACTTCCACGTTCTTAGAGAGTATCCCACTGACGGTCTATCAGTGTCCTTGCCATTATTCCTCCAGTCCAAGTACATCTGCTTGAAATGGCAACGTCAAAGTCATCATCATCTACCCAACTGGCAAAGCACAACTTGGCACTATGCCTATTAGCTCTAGATGAGATGCGAAAGACTTATGTCTCTGCTGACGCAGCATACAAGCTATTCGATCGCGCCAGAGCCATGATCGAGAAAACACGGCAAGAAGCTGAGGTTGGTCTACGAGATTCGACTATTTCGCCGGAAAGACAAGGAATTGAGACTGCACAATGGCTTGATGATTCCGCGGGCTATGATTTGACATCGGCAGGGGTCTTATCATCTCTGTGGGCGCCGTTCGCCAATATCATTCCCGATGATTTCTCAGGATATTCCTCCTAGATACATGACAGTAGAATCCAGGATGAAGATAGACGCATATAATAAAAATTTATCTATCCCAGTCCAATGAGGTAACACTTCCAGCTCAATACTCTAAGCCTCGGTGGTCTGAGACCAAGCAAACCTTTCGGCGATACCGGCCCCGGGACTTGCGCCAAATTCAGGACCGTCGCCCGAAATCCTTATCTGGTCCTGGTCTGCTGTGACGACATGGCAATTTATACTCCCGAAGTCCGACGCTCAACAAAACTAGAGACTCCGCAACGTTGAAAATGCACTGGTCAATGCGTTTATGGTGAGCCGAGCTCGGTACTTTGTGGGGCACGAACGATTGCTTGCGTAAACCCATTTTCATAGAAATATGCTTTGACGCAGTGAATCTCGCAGTAGGTGAGTCTACTGCTACTAAGAATTGCGACAATATGGCGGAATCAACCGAGATTCCTACCCCTTCCGGCTTACCCTTGCTGGGTAACATTACATCTATCAATCCTGAATTCCCACTAGGGTCTATGGTGTCGCTCGCTGAACAGCATGGTTAGCATTACCTCTTGATTGAAAGACTACCATTATCAACTGACAACTCATCACAAGGCGAAATCTATCGATTGAGATTTCCAGGCCGAACTGTCGTGATCGTCTCTACACAAGAATTGGTCAACGAGACTTGCAATGAGAAGCGGTTCAAGAAGTGTGTCAATTCAGCTTTAACTGTAAGATATGCCGTACTCGCAAAGCTGCATTCGCTAATGATGGGAAAGGAAATCCGAGAAGGAGTTCATGATGGGCTTTTTACTGTAGGTATCCTCAGTGACAGTAGCTAAACATACGCTAAATCGAAATTCAGGCCAAGCTCGGGGAGGAGAATTGGGGCATCGCCCACAGAGTGTTGATGCCCGCCTTCGGACCATTATCGATCCAGCGCATGTTTGACGAGATGCACGATATTGCCTCTCAACTTGCTCTCAAGTGGGCGCGATACGGGCCTGACTCGCCCATCATGGTAACTGATGACTTTACTCGTCTGACATTGGATACACTGGCTTTATGTTCCATGGGCTATAGGTTTAACAGCTACTATTCTCCAGTCCTCCATCCATTTATCGAAGCAATGGGTGACTTTCTGACCGAAGCTGGAGAGAAACCTAGACGATTGCCTTTACCTGGAATTGTCTACCGCGATCGTAATCGTAAATATCAAAACGATATTGAGACTATGAGAAGTACTGCCAAAGAGGTTCTTGAAGCTCGAAAGGCAGATGGAGGCACGCGGAAAGATCTCTTGACGGCTATGCTTGAGGGTGTCGACACAAAAACCGGCAAGAAGATGACTGACGAGAGTATTATGGATAATCTGATCACCTTTCTTATTGCAGGGCACGAAACTACGTCAGGGCTCTTGTCTTTCGCCTTCTATCAGCTCCTTAAACATCCAAATGCCTACCAGCTTGCCCAGAACGAGGTTGACCAAGTTGTCGGTAAAGGACCTATACAGGTTGAGTCTCTTTCTAAACTGCCATATCTGAATGGTGTTTTGAGAGAAACCCTTCGTCTCAATGCAACCATCCCTCTCTTCACCGTCGAAGCTTTCGAAGATACCCTCCTTGCAAACAAGTATCCGGTCAAGGCTGGCGAAACTATTGTCAACCTTCTCGCAAAGTCACAACTTGATCCCGCGGTCTTTGGTGACGATGCGGACGAGTTCAAGCCAGAACGCATGTTCGATGAGAACTTTACCAGATTGAACAAGGGATTTCCTAACTGCTGGAAACCTTTTGGGAATGGTATGCGAGCCTGCATCGGAAGACCTTTCGCGTGGCAGGAAGCTTTACTGGTAATGGTGATGCTTCTGCAGAACTTTAACTTTGTTCTTGATCCCAAGTACAATCTTGATTTCAAGCAGACGTTGACTATCAAGCCCAAAGAAATGTACATGAGGGCGATCTTGAGGGACAACCTTACGCCGACCACCCTTGAGCACCGGTTGGCTGGTCTTTCTGTTTCAGAAAAGATAGACGGGAACGGGACCAGTAGAGAGACTGCCGAATCTGAAGACGGCGTCCCTATAACGGTCTTGTACGGATCTAATAGTGGTACATGCGAGTCTCTGGCCCAGAGGGTTGCGACCGATGCCGCCGAACATGGATTCCACGTCACCAAGATTGACTGTCTCGACACTGCAAAGGAGAATCTACCTACCGACCAGGCTGTTATTATCATCACCGCATCATACGAAGGTGAACCTCCCGACAATGCGGGTCATTTTCTTTCTTGGCTTGAGAACACCAAGCAAGAGGGCAAGCCACTGAACGATGTTTCGTATGCTGTTTTTGGATGTGGCCACAAGGATTGGGTGCAGACTTTCCACCGCATTCCCAAGCTTGTGAACGATACTCTTGAGAAGCTTGGTGCTACCCGACTGGTCGACATGGGTGTTAGCGACGTCTCCCAGAATGCGTTCTCTAGTGATTTTGAGATATGGGAGGATAACATGCTATGGCCTGCTCTCGAAAGTCATTACAAGCCTGAAAGTAAAGCCAAGTCAGCACACAAAGGGCTGAGAGTTAAAAGCAGTAACTTTAGGAGCCTTACCCTCCGTCAAGATGTCCAAGAGGCTACAGTGATCTCAACTAGGACCTTAACCAGCGAAGCCGAAGTACGATCCAGGAAGAAACACATGGAGGTACAATTATGCGAAGGCACTCGATACGCAGTAGGGGATTACCTTGCTGTTCTACCCGTCAATCCCCAAGAAGTTGTTCGTCGGGCACTGAGGAGGTTCAGGCTCCCAATAGATGCTCATTTGGAGATTTCAAGCAGTACGCCGACTACACTCCCGACTGATACATCTGTATCAGCGCTGGATGTTTTGAGTTCCTACGTTGAGCTTTCGCATCCAGCCACAAAGAGGGTAAGACATCAAAGGGATTGCATAAACATGATCTAGAACTAACTCGATTTTGCAGAACCTTCTTGTTATTGCTGAAGCCACATCAGATGCAAAGTCTAAAGCTGCCCTCACGTCCCTTTCTGGAGATCTTTATGTAGAGGAAGTCAGCAATAAGCGCGTATCAGTCCTAGATATACTAGAGCGGTATCCCTCTGCCGAATTGTCTATCAAGGACTTCTTACAAATGCTGCCATCTATGCGCATTCGCCAATAGTGAGACTTCTACTGCCACGCTGCTTCACAGTTTACTGACCTCTCGTTCTTAGCTCCATCTCATCGTCTCCTTTATGCAATCAATCTCGTGCCACAATTACATTTTCAGTCCTCAAGGGGCCCGCCTTTTCAGGCCAAGGCGCATATAACGGCGTCGCAACCTCTTACCTTGACTCTCTAGTTGAAGGTGACACGCTCCAGGTGGCCATCCGCCCATCGCCTGCTGCTTTCAGCTTTCCCTCAAGCCCCGAAAGTACACCCATGATTTGCATTGCCGCTGGATCAGGACTTGCGCCGTTCAGGGGCTTCATACAGCACCGAGCCATGATGTACGAATCAGGTCGCAGTCTCGCGCCAGCTCTGCTTTTCTTCGGTTGTCGTTCTCCTGACCAAGACGACCTTTACCACGATGAGTTCGACAACTGGCAGAAGTGTGGTGTGGTAGACATCCGACGAGCGTACAGTCGTCATGAAGAGGGGTGCAGATATGTCCAAGATCGGATCTGGCTAGACAAGGAAGCCTTTATTGATCTTTGGGAGAAAGGTGCCAAGGTCTACGTGTGTGGCTCAAGGGCAATGGCTGATTCGGTAAGAGAAGTTATGATCAAAGTCAAGATTGAGATGGAAACGAGACGTGGGGGTAAGATGACACTAGATGAGGCAGAGAAGTGGTTCGATGATCAAAGGAACGTGAGGTATGCAATGGATGTGTTTGACTAGAGGTGTACAAGCATTATAGATCGTGCATAACAGAGTCTTTCTACATTATATTATCAGTATAACATGTCATTCTTTTCGTCAATGTGTAGGTTGATAGGCTCGTGCAAGTTGTCTAAGATACAAGTGATGTCGGCGCAACATATGCGACCTTTGTTTGCCCTCTTACAAGGGCCTGTTTGCGTACAGTAGAATTTGCAACAGACTGGAGACACCCCGATACCGACGCATAAGCTCGGTGCATCAACAACAACGGGATCTTTCTTGACTACAGCATGCAAATAAATGATAACACCCTCCACAGCAGACAGCCTCGGTCGGTTTCGTACTAAACAAGGGATTGATGGCCCGCCTCGGCATCGGCAACAAGTGGGGCTCATTGCCAATATGGAGTTCATTCGCCAGTGTTAACTGAGGAATGATCTTATGCTCACCCATTGTGTATGTTTATATCAGTAACAATTCCCCCAGATTCTATATCAAGAAACAATCCAACTTTCAATTTCACTAAGACCGCATTAGACGCAACACTGGAAACTTAACTTTGACAATGTCTTCAACTTTTGCTGCACCAGCTTCGTATTCCGCACTGCCATTCAAGGACATCTCCGTGTCCCATGTACCAGCCACTTGTCCTACAGCTACAAAAGTCCTTATTGTAGCTTTCAATCGTCCAGAGAAGCACAATGCTGTCACTGCGAACCTCCTTGAAGAACTCGAATCAATTTATCGAATTATTGATCAAGATGATCGAGTTCGTGCGATTGTTCTGACAGGCATAGGCAACGCATTCTGTGCTGGCGCCGATCTACAGGTGGGATTTGCTCCGCTGATGGCTCATAAGGAGAGCGAAGGGTCTATCTCCAGATACAGGGACCAGTATGTACTAAATTGACGAACTGTGCCATATGAATAAACATATACTGACACGATCTCAGGGGTGGTCGGGTCGCCCTCGCCATGACCAACTGCACTAAACCCACCATTGTCGCCGTCAACGGACCTGCAGCAGGTTTTGGAATGACTATTACCCTCCCCGCCGCTATCCGCGTAGCATGGTCTGGAGCAAAACTCGCCTTACCTTTTGCCCGCCTGGGTCTTACCCTTGAGTCTTGCAGTGCCTTCTTTCTTCCTCGACTGATCGGTCTGGCGAATGCGACTCATATATCTACTACTGGGGCAACATACTTGGCTTCTGACCCTCTGGTCAAGTCCATGTTCTCAAAGCTTCTCCCAACTCCACAAGAGACAGTGGCATACGCCTTGGAGCTAGCGACAGAGATTGCGGACAACACTTCGCTAACGAGCACCAAACTGATGAGGGATATGCTGTTATATGGCCCTAACACTCCAGAAGAAATGCACGTGTTGGATTCAAAAGCCTTTATATCTGTTGTCGGGTCGAAAGACAATGTAGCTGGCATTAAGAGCGTCATAAAAAAGACGAAGCCAGAGTTTAGTGGGGCATTTGATCAAGCATCTGTACCGTTCTGGCCATGGTGGAAGTTCGGAAACGATACTCATCCAGATGCAAAACTCTGAGGTTGTTAATAACCAAGAGAGGGTAACTCATAGTTTGGTAGTAACAGCACATGTCTACTCGGTTAATTGCTTCTGTATCAATGGCCAAGAGACTCCAAGTATCATATCGTGTATGTAGTGGGTTACTCGGACGAGAACAGTTGTAGCAGGGTTCGTAGCTTAATGAAATACGATGCAATATTAAAGCCGAAAGAGGTAGAAAGAGCGACGGCTCACACGCAGGAGAATAGGATCAGGATGTCTGTATCAATCGGCTTTGTGAGGCATGTGATAAATCCTGGCCGCCTCGGTAATATGTGGATCTCGAAAGTGTTCCAGTTCTCTCGTAACAGACAGTAAACCAGGTGTCACAAATCTCAACAAAATTCTCAACAACTATTGAGACGTTTTATTCATCAGATAGAGCGGCGTATGTGGTGATTATATATAGTTCGGTGGTGTCAAAAGTTGACTTTCCTCATCACGAGACTCTCATCACAACCACGACTAAAACTTCGTTGATTGCCTGTACTGTCCGGGAAAATATGGAGTCGACTTCAGAAAGTCCAACAAGTATAATGGGGTTGTTTCTGAACTGGAAGACGCTGGCAGCATTACTTGCCTTGACGAACTTTAAGAGTCTTCATTTAATGTGGTTTGTAAGTTGATGGGCAATTTGTGAACCTCCACCTTGATAGAACTTTCAATAACTAACATTACCATTAGATACGTTTCCTCCGTGCCTTTGCTCGTAGGCTCACGGACTCTGCCCCAGATAAACATCTTTCCCCTCGATGCTTGTTCCTCCCAGCTATCAGCGCAACGAGGTCCCCAGCCCTCGAATGCGATTACAATCTTCACAAATCGAACTCGACGTACTTTACCGACATGGACATGTCTCGTGGGAACTTCAGTCTCGTTCTCTTCAGCAAAGCCTTCAATCCATTTCCTGGCCCAACTCACTTCACCATGATTCTTGGGGGAACAACATGTACGTGGCGCAAAGAGATCAAGCCATATGCAAAATACGAGCTCTGGACACGGGTTCTCACCTGGGATGAGAAGTGGTTATATGTGGTCACGCATTTCGTCAAGCCGGGGGTCTTTCGTCCAGATGAATACGTCATGCAGCCTACGAAGAAGGTTACAGTCGGAAAGCGGTGTAAGGAAGACCCAGAGCCTTTGAAATGCATTTATGCCTCTTCAGTGGCCCGGTATGTGTTTAAGAACAATCGACGCACAATAGCACCAGAGACAGCGCTTCGAGAGTGTGGTCTGCTGCCAGATGATGATGCAAGTATGTTAAAGGTGGAAGAGACAAGAGTTAGTAACCTTGAGATTGGACGCCTTGAGGCTGGTTGGGACTCGGTTCACAATTGTTTTCAGTATAAGGGTGCTGCTCTAGGATGGTATCATAGCGTGTATTGAGTATAGCTAATAACTGGTAAAAGAAAAGTTGCTAAGCTTAGGTACTTACAGATAACTAAAACCTTTTGAAATATCTAGAGCTATACTATTACTGTTAATGACGTTAAGTTGCATAGCTTTACTAACTACAATTACACTTCCAAAATACTACCGTAGACTCACATCATTTTAAAGGTCGCGAGTCAGGACAAACATGAGATAACTTCAGTTGATGTCGTTTATTTGACAACTTATGTTAATTATGCTAATCCTCTAACCTCAAGATACATCCCATAGCAGGCATCCTAACTATGTCTTGTTAAGTAACCCATCTCCAATTCTACCTCCTTTGTCTTCTCCTTCTTCTTCTCTCACGACACAAGCCGCAGAGAGTATATATTTTCTTACTATAGTCTTTCGTATCTTTGCATGAGACCCCTCCTTGAGATTTCTTGCAGTATTCGTATTCGAACTTTTGATCAAGAAGGTTGCCGCAGTCTGAGCACCATATCCTATCAATATACCTTCTGCACATCTTGTTTTTAGTACAGATCGCAGTTTTTAGTTAGTGTGTTTTGGATCCTCTTTTGTTAGTTGGTCTGTTGTTTAGCTGATGTTTTCTAATTTTGAAATGGGAAGGACAGTCTATTTATACATGCAAGATGCACTCAAACACGTGCTGGGCTTAAGTAACGTTGATGGTTTTTTCAACATTAAGGACTTGATTGTCGTTCAATTTATAGCAGTTATTCAGTAGCTTTGATTGTTAGCTTACTTATCTTCCGAGATCGTGAGTCAGTAACCAAAGATGGGATGACCTCTGTTAATATTGTTTATTGAATGACTTGCTCTATTTATACTGCTCTAGGCTCAAGATAGCCATTCACAGCAGGTATTACCCCTATCTCCTCAAGTACCCCATCGTTCATTTCTACCTCCTGTGTCTTCTTCTTCTTCTTCTTCTTCTTCTTCTCCTCCTCCTGTCCTCACAGCTTGGGCAGATAGTTTCTGTTTGTGTGTCTATTGTCTCCAGAGCTCTGCAGGCTCCAAGAACCCCTTGAGCCGCTGCGCAGATTTGCGGGGTGATGGTTTGACTAACAAGTCTGCCACAGTCTCGGCACAACACGTTCCTGTAGAACTCAATGCACATATTTGACGGTGGGAATAGTAGGCTATAGTAGGAAGTTGTGTATAAGATGTGTCTTTGCTTTGTCGCTCTGTTGTTTAGTTTGTGTTTTTCTGGATTTGACGTGGGAGGGACGATCTAGGTATTTATACAAGGAAGCATTTGCACAAACAGCAGTTTTTACACTGATGCTGAAGTACTCAGGCGATAAATGATATATATTCTATGCTGTTAAGTGACATGAGTAACAGTTTCGACGTCAAAGACTCAATGTCTTTTTCACAACAAGCATTCCACCTTTGTCTTCTCCTTCTCAATCTCCTGTTATATCTTACTCCGCAGGTAGTTCTTTGCACTCTCAATTGCTCTCGCATATTTCTGCAACCTTCAAACACCCCGCTGGCATTTTCACAGGTTTCTTCACAGAAATGTTGATCGAGAAGGTTGTCGCGATATCGATGTATTACCTGTTTGTGGACCATTTTGCACATTTTTGCTGGCGGAGATTGTGATTTATAGTAGGTGTGTATAAGATGTCTCTTTGCGTTTTCGTCTTGTTATATAGCTAATGTCTCTCCGCTTGTGGCACGGGAAGCACAATCTCCTTATACGCGCAAGTATGTACTTAAACAGCAATTTTTACGCTGATGCTGAAGCACTCATACAATAAATAAAAACATCCTATGCTGATTCCACATAGATATATTTTTTTTAACGTTGGCAGATTCAGCGGTTTCCTGTTAATCAATTATGTTCAACATGTTTGATTGTCGGATGAAACCTGTACATAAATACGCTGTACATCCTCTCTACGAGATAAATACTCAGCTAAAGAGCACAAAGTGTCACTGTTTATTACCTAATCACTTCAGAGGAAGTAGAAAGTACTGAATATCTGTAAAATAGGTGGTAAAAGTAGAATTGAATACACAACTATTTAACGACGTGCATGGAAATAAAGATAGTTAATTACCCTGCATTGGGTTCTGTGTAGATAATAAAGATAAGATAAGAGATGCCTGGATTGTATGGAGTCAAATCCCAGTAAATTAGGCAGAATATCCACAACTGTCTAAGCGAAAGGATCCACGTGACGTGATATCCCAGATCCATGGGATGTTGCCTGAAACTAGTTCGATCTGACAGTGATATCGTCGCGTTTAAAATGGCAGCAAATAACCCATCTTGAATATCTTGTCTTGTCTTATTCGCTATCAACCTGTATCATCATTCACAACTGTCGCGTGTCTTGCTTGTTGCCGCCAAGCTCATCCATCTCGCTTACCATTTCTGTCTCACCCCCCACCATGTCATCAACACAATCTACCCCCTTCACATACTTTCGCAATTTCCCTCCAGAGATCCAATTAGAGATCTTGAATCACTGTACCCGAAACGACCTTGTTTGCTTGTCTTTAACAAACCACGACTTCCGGGCCTTCATTACACCGCTGATCAAATCCAAACCGCATCTAGAATGGGTTGATCAGCTTGGTACTACACCTGATGTACCTCAGAGCTGTCCTCTGGAAAAATCAGATATCTACCACCGCTCTTATTGTAAGGGCGTACGTGGCAATGATGTACACTACAACAGACATGCGCACCGTGTCAAACGACACGCTACCCCAGCCCGCGCCTGCTTCAAATGCGAGTTCTATCCTCCAGACCATCCTACATGCCAAGTACCTTTTTGCAAAAAGCAATGCATGTGTATTTCGTGTCCTCTCTTCATCAGATTACGCGGCTGGATGGGCGAGAGGCGATACTGCAGCCAATGTAAACAATTCACAACCAGAAATAAAAAGAACAAGGGACGATGTATGTACACAGCCTCATCTGCGCCTCATATTTGTGTGGCTATACTGACAAATCATAGGTACACACGGAAGAGTAAGGGAACGCAAGAGACCAAACAATCACTGGACATACACAAAGGGGGCATCGTATGGGTATCGTTGGTGGAGGAGATGGGGAACATGCAGTGTCGACAACGAAGCATATACGCCAGACGCAAAACGAAGGCCCAATGCAAGAGTTGTATGAGTATGAGGTTGACTGTGCACCCAGCGAGAGATATAGTTACAATAGTAAGACTGTACCCCACCCGGCGACTGTCACTACATGGTTAAATTCCCCAAGACTCGTCACCTACTGGAAACATTACAACCACACTAAATATAGGCCGGTTCACTCGGCAGCCAAGACGGATTATGGCACAGACTCTTTTCTATTGGGTCGGACTCTCGGGAGGGTGTACCATATAATCTCCTGACTATTTCCTTGGCTCTGCTCTACTCGAGTAATGATCTACAGCTGCCAAGACTAGACCGTTGATATTGCAGACGCTGAGTAGTTACAGCAGTGACAATGATGCGTATGCCAAGTGGCCGGGCTGAGCCAAGTCAGGTCCTAACGGTGGTCACTGGTAGAGGCCAAGTCAAAAGGTCAAGCGAAGGATTACGGCCAAGAAGAAGCAATTTAGGAGGAGAAAATCAGGAGCAGAGGGTCTGGAGTAATGGGTGTATAAAGATGCTCTACCGCATCAACAGAAGTTGAGACATCATTCTGTATTACTCGTCGTCATCATGGACACTCTACGCAACATGATGCCTCAATGGCATAGTTACAGCAGACTAGAGACTCGCAGTCCTGACTCGGACCCTGAGACTTTAAAGCCCGCCGGATCCGGTTCTGTACCCTGTTGGGGGTCTTTTGCCAAGAGACTCCTTCGGCTGCCTCTCCGCACAGTAATAATTCTCACTGCTGCATTTTTAATCCTTCCTGGGTTTTTGGCGTTGACTTCAACAAAGGTGAGAACATCTGTATTCCTTTCAAATTGCACATACTGACATCTCAGGGCCGGGCATATCTCAAGGACTCATCAGCGGAAACTGAATCAGTCGATCACCTCGTTACCCAAGACCGTCGAATAGCCATCGTTCTTCCCGCAAACAATCCAGACCATGAACTTTGCAAAGTCATTACCAGTTCCGTAGCCCTTGGCTACCCATGTCCCGTTATTGTCAACTGGAGTAAAACCTACGACCCTTCGAAAGGATGGAAAGGCGGTTCCCATCTGGCCAAGATCACGGGCATGCTGGAGTATCTAGACGACGTCGTCGATCCCAAGACCCCCGACGAGAACAGATTGGAAGAGAACGATCTTGTCATTTTGTCTGATTCATATGATGTCTGGTTCCAACTTCCCCCAGACGTTCTGATCAAACGTTACCACGAAGCAAACGCCCAAGCCAATCGTCGACTCGCCGCTCAATACAAAGGACGTGGCAAAGTCACCATGAAGCAAACCATCATCGTGTCAGCACAAAAGAAGTGTTTCCCTCCCCCATCATCAGGGTCCGTTCTCCACTGCGATCAACTCCCAGACAGTCCCGTTCGCAAAGATCTCTATGGTCCCAACACAGACCGAAACCCAAACGACTTTCACGACAACAGACCCAAGTACCTCAACAGTGGTAGCATGATAGGCCCAGTTGGTGATATGAGGAAATATTTCCGTCGGGTTTACGAACGAATGCAGAGAGGACTTGTCAATGGCAAGGATCTTTACAGCGACCAGGGTGTTTTTGCAGAGATCTTTGCTGAGCAGGAACTTTGGAGAAGATCATTGCGTTCACACAAGTCTATCACTAAAGACAAGGACATTGAGTATCTGCACGAAGAATTTGAGTATCACGTTGGCCTCGACTACACTCAGCAACTATTTATTCCTACCGTCTTTGAAGAGCAAGACGGTGAAATCATCGCTCTCAACGACGCAGCTGGAATCGCCGAAAAGTCCAAGACCCTTAATATTCTACCCAGACTCGACAGTGTCCCAGAAGATATCAAAGAGTCCGGCAACCCTCTAAGTAAAATCTCTGTCCGCGAGCTGGACATTGTTGAAGACTGGGGAGAAATGCCTCTCTACGCCGACTTTTTCTCCGAGGCTATTCCTGTGGTAGTACACCACAACGCCCACAAGGATGGAGCCAAGAAGCGGAGATACACCTGGTGGGACCGAATTTGGTACTTTCCGTATCTACGAGAACTTGTAGAGACGCAACTCAAAGAGACGAAGGCGAGGTCCTTGCTTGATATTGTGGTTGATGGAGAGAGTTTAGTTTACTGGGATTCAAGAGCGAGCAAGCCTCAGAAGAAGCCTCAGACGTTTGTTGTCGGGAGCAATGGGAACACTACGTTTACGAAGCATGAGTTTACGGACGTTTGCAAGTCTAAGTGGGATCATGAGGAAGTAAAGAAGCCTTGGTGGGACGAAGTGTTCAGAGATGGAAAGGGCGACTTGAAGGGATAAGGGTTGTGTGCGGTTGACCTAGTATTTATATAACACATTAAAACAATAGTATTGTAAATAACAAACGAGTTTTGAATAGATCTAGATTATAGCATGTATTCAGTCAAGGGGTAACTCAAGGTATAATTGATTTGCATATTTTGTCCGGTGAGGCACTTTCTTATAGATGGCCGGCTGCTACTATGACTAGACTGCCGGTATCAATGATTCTATATAATTACTTTGATGAAGTCTATAGTAATGCAAAAGATAAATGAGTCTAGCTATTTACAAAATTGCCGAAGGCAGATATTATACCACTACCCTCTTTCGACGTCTATGTAGAAGATGGCATCGGGAGAATGTTAGTTTTCAATTGCATTCCCGTTAGTCATCTCCCAGAATCCTTCCAACATCTCCGAATGAGCGTACCATACTAGTAAATCACTACCAAGATCCTTTTTACATTGAGAGATTAGTCGGATAGTTGACCGTGCCTCATCTTCGTTTTCATGCAAGGTGGCATGTTCCATAGTACCTGCTGGCATCAGGCCAAAGGGTGCCTCCGGCCAGTAAGTAAAGATGTTGCAAGCGGCACAATCACCTCCAAGAAATAGCCATTTCCTGCTCCCATCTGTCGTGGCAACACGTGTAAGAAGTGCCAAATTGCCTTGCAGATGGCCAGGTGCGCTAATAAGGAAGACTGAACCATCGTTGAAGAAGTCTAGAGCATGAGGGAAAGGGCCGAGTTGGAACCACGCGGCATTAGTGGTTGGGGGAAGCTCTTCCAAAGGAAACGTTCGCAGGCTAGAGTCCCAGATACGACCATCGAATACTGACTCTGGCTCCGTTGGATATGCTGGGCCATACGTCTCAATAGTACCAGGACCGCATATCATGGTAGTCTGATTGAACTCAATTGGCATCGGGCGGACATGGTCCCAGTGAGCATGACTAGTGAAAAAGAAAAACAGTTAGACTGGTGATAAATATACTTGAAGCGCGAAAGTTCAAATACCTAGCAATCACGTATTTCACATCTGATGGTTTGAAGCCTGCATCTTCGGTATCCTGTGCAAGGGATCGGGTTGCGGGGTCCGGTTTGAAGTGTTCATGAACTGCTTGGACACTCTCAGGATAAGAGCTAAGATTCTAATATCAAGTTAGCGATAGACTCTCAACTAGGAGACCAATATTAATGTACCGAAGAGATTCCCATATCAAACCATAGCTTAGTGTCTGTCAGACTATGATGAATAAAGAAGCGCCAGGAAGTTCCCGCACTTGTCGACCTGGCATCAAGAACAAGTGCTGATGCCGGAGTAGTCATCACACCTGTTTCATACGGGGTGACCGAAACAACTTCATTTTGGTGAAGTAGGTCTTTGAGAGAACCAAGTTCAGTCATTAACTGCCGAGAAAATTGATAGTCTCCAGCGACCATCATTGCTTTTTGTGCAAGAAGTAGATATTGAAAGTATTTCATCATCGTTTTGCACGATTGTTGTTTGATGTGATCACTTGATTGAATGAGTTGAATGGATGAGGATACGGCCAAGTCTACCACTTCTTTATATGAGAGCTCCCGCCCTGCCTATGTGGCAGTACTTTTCTACTTTCAAAACACGACAAGGATAAATACGAATACAGATTTATAATGACTGGGATTTATGACTGAGCACCAAGATTCGGTGGTAGCTGGGGTTCGGGCCTAATATTACGGTTTTCATCTTCGGCCCGAGTGTGTTACTAGGCCTGTTTTCCTTGGGGTTTGTGTACACCAAGTGTCGGGCCGAGTCGTATCTTAGGGTAGGTAACGTCAAAACATGAAGAAGAATAATTAGGTACTTTCGGCATTTCTTACTATCATAGTTATATTGAGAGTATTATCAAAGCTTCTTTAATTACCTTGGAATTGAAACGCCTCATCGTTTTATAATCTTAAGATATTTCTGGCGCTTCACACTCGTCAAGGCAAATGTATCACTACACATTTTTGTATCAAATTCACGCAAACAAACATCATGGTATCCTGGCCAATTCCGATTCCCGACAATTGCCCTTTCACTTTTGCAAACCTCCCTTTTGGTGTTTTTAGCACAACTGCCAACGTGAGTCAGTATCAAATCAGCTTCGGATGTAGCTAAGTCACATTACAGAATGAGAAACACATCGGTGTTGCTATTGGGGATTTTATCATTGATTTATCTTCACTAGAGTATCACTTGGATGATCCAAGTTTCGAGTGTCTGGGTAGAGACCCGATGTTTCAAAATGGTGACCTTGAAAGGTTTGCGAGCTTACCTGCCGAGATACAGAAACAATGGCGAGAAATGATGATCAGTTGGCTGAATGACCCAGAATCGCTATTGTTCAAGAGCGAGACAGGAAACGTAACTAAATTCGTTGCCATGGAGGATGCCATTATGCATCTGCCTTTTGCAATTGGCGCTTTCACAGATTTCATGTGCTCAGATATCCATATTGAAAACGTAAGTGACCTGAAATCTCATCTTTTCGATCAAGGTTGTCTGACATCTTTCGTCTAGTGCAGTAGACTCGCTGGGGGATCTATACCACCGGGTCATTACAACTTTCCTCTAGGCTACAATGGCAGAGCCTCCTCTGTGATTGTTTCAGGCCAGCAAGTTCATCGACCACAAGGTGTTGTGAGTAGCAAGCAAGATTCGTCATACAAATACCAACCGAGTAAGATGGTAGACTACGAGGTAGAGATAGGAATACTCATCGGGAAGCATCTGCCGCTTGGTAAAGTTATTACTGCGGATGAGGCTGATGAGTATATTTTTGGATTTGTTTCTCTAAATGACTGGTCTGCCAGAGACATCCAATTTACAGAAATGATTCCTCTCGGTCCGCTCAATGGCAAAAGCTTTGCTACAAGCATATCACCTTGGGTGGTTACGTTTGAAGCGATGAAACCACACCGGTGCCCCTCTACTGTAGTAGATTTGCGAGATGGAGGATTGGCTGGCGTACCGCACATGTGCCACGAGAAGATCGATTCTACATGGGACCTCGAAGTCGAAGTGTCGGTATTGAGTCAGTATAATCTACGCAACTGTGTCCGCCCTGAGCCATCTAATAGTTTTCAGGAACGAGTCTGTATGGGCAGAAACCAATCTTGACAACTCGCTCTAAGCTATGTGATCTTCGCTGGTCTCCCGGTCAGATGTTAGCGCATCTCTCTTCTTCCGGTTGCGGTTTCAAAATCGGAGACCTTGTCGGCACAGGTACCATATCATCCCCAGTAAGTGGCTAATTTTCTATGTATCTCGCAGAAGCATCTTTTGTCTAATGTTACCACTACAGGGTGACTCTCCGTCCCTTCGGACCCTTGGATGCCTGTTTGAACTTACCGACGGTGGAAAGAAGCCAGCAGCTACTTCTCAGGAGGAGCCACTTTTTTATCTCAAGGATGGAGATGAGGTCCAACTGGACGTTTGGAATTCTGCAAGAACACTAGGGTTTGGAAACCTGTGTAGTCAGCTTTTAGGCCCTAGATCAAGCATTAGTTGATTAGAGTATCTGACCTGCCGAACTGCATTAGGCATCTGTCTTTTGCACATAGCTCTACATGCGTTAACTTATATGTTGTTTGTTAATAAGTGTCTCTGTTAATTGCAACACAGTTGCAAGTGCTTGTTAATTGGGGTTTAAAACAAAGATCGAGATGAACACATCCCTGAGATGAATATCTAGGTTAAACAGTACCTGCAGGACTAAAAAAAAGTTACCTGTAAATTATATCCTAATTTAAATATGCGTAATTACTCATATCATTCAACATCAGAAAATCACTTCCAAACAACTCTCCTAATACTCCAGGACTCTGATCCCACCACACTGTATTCATTCCCATTTCACAATCGGTGTCGGAAGGGTCTTCTGTTATAACATGTCCACCTGTTCGCCCAACCATTACAGCAGAAACGTCTCGTTGCTCTGCAGGTACAACACCTTCGCTTTGGTTTGTAACCGTACTTGGTCTAGAAAGGTGACTGCCGTCTCCCACTTCGTTACTTCTCTTGTCGTTGCAGACAACATAACTCCGGATATGGCTCGACAGGGCCGGAGAGTGACCAGAGTCTCGGTGTTCGGTGAGCGAGTCAGCATTAAGCTGTCGTTGTCCAGCGTCTTTTTCCGCTTCGCGTAACCCGGCGAGAGTTCTAGACTCGGCGAATTGACGTTCTAAATCCTCAGACTAAATAGCACAAATCAGAACGGATAAATATTCGTTCTATGTTCTTCACAACTTACCATTGGCCGTAAATGACTCCAGTATTTACAGAGCTCAGATGTGAGACGAAAGTTGGTTAGAGGTCCCTGGAGCTCCAGATGTGTGAGTGAACCTAAGGCGTGGTATCGACGTAATTGGACCGAAACACAAACGTAGGCGCCATACCCAACGATAGACCAAAGCTTAGATATAGGTGCCTTGGACGATATGTATTGTTCTGTCATTGAAGACATTGTCTTGGAATGTTCCCATGCTTGCTCAGCCGCCAATTGCAGCATGGAGCGGGAGAACGCGGGTTCTTGCCAGCGACAAGAGAGGACTGGAACTATTGAGGAATACAAGTAAAGCAAACAGAGCTCGTACATATATCTGAGAGAGAATGTCCGGCTGCGCTCTCTTGAAGGTGTTTCAATAATTGGTTGAAGCAAGATAGGTTGCCTGTGCTCTCCTAGCTGGCAGGGAAGGCTTTGAAGTCGTTGATCCAAAGAACAATAGGTTGCAGCCCATTGCGCGGGACTGCCTTTCTTGGCGTGTATTGATCGAACGAACTGTTGAGACTCCCACCTGATCACCGTTAGCCAGACTTCCTGTCATGCTGAATATGTCCTACCATAGCCCTTGAACCATTACCAAGACCGAGTTAAAACCCAACTGTTTTCCCGGGCCTGATAGTGCACGAAGCGACCCATCCTTATCAAGACAATAAGACACAGTTGCAAAGGGGTCATCCTCATCAGAGGGCAATGGGAGTCCTTCCACAGATGCCCAGCAATCGCCCTCGAATCGGGAATTCTCCAGACTGGCGCATTTGGTAAGCCAGCATGCCCAAAAGCACCTTGTCATAGAAACATGATCTGGTGTCTTGTTGGTCGTATTGCCCATGTAAACTTGATCAAAATGTAACAGGCACGAAGCCCGATGAGCGATGGCAATAGAGGAGATTAGCGATGCGACCATGATCTATTCAAGAATAAAACTTACCTGTATGCATATTTGTTCTTGAACTTTCTCCTTTAGCGAACCAAAAAAGGGCCAAGACCTGGCATGTCTGAACGAGTTCACGAGATGGTTTATCCGCAGTCATCAACGCCATCTGGCTAGCTTGCTCTCCCCAGAGCATGCCAACTACTTTCCAATCAATCATAGATACATCTGTAATGTCCAAGACACCTTGATATATCCCACCTGGAGCAGGATGTAGAAATCTTGGTAAACATCAGCAACGTGTTATGGGAGAAAAGCAGATTAGGGCACACGCAACAGAGAAGCAAAGGCGAAGATGGCAAGAACCACATTATTGCAAGCCTTTCCTGCAATGTAATCTTGGATAATTTGGCTTTTGTAAAATAGTAGGTTTGACTGATAGTTGCGCTCGAAGAAGATCTCAAATAGAAAGAGCGCTATTTCCTGAGAGACGTCAATAGCAGGGAAAGAATTCTGACCGTGGCACGAAATTGTCATCTGGTTAATTGGAGGGAACAATTCTCGAACACAGCCGGCCGAGCCCTGTTCGTCCCTGCCTGGCCATGCTTGTTCATCCTGTGCCGGTGGTAAAGGATCGTAAACTTGCAAATCTTGGTCCGTCGTCGGCTCAGAGTCCTCGAGCGAACGGTGGGTTGAGGGGGCCGTAGGCTGCGATAGCCTCTCTTGAGCACGCCTTACGGACAAGGCTTTACGATCAGGCGGTGCCGGGTAGCCGCATCTAGCACCAGCCCTTTGACAACGTTGACATTGAGGTCGGTCTCGACTGCATCTCAACTTAGAAATGTCAGCAGGGATCAGATCTTACTACTGCTATGTTGTGGGTTGAACCTTTTGCCTACGACAGCGCAAGCATGCTACTGTCGGCGGGGTTTGCTGCATCCTTACGGCGGGGAGTCAGTGGATTCAGACACGGCGTCGGTGCGAGTTTCGGTTGAGCTTTGTTTGGCGACGAGGAGGTAAACTGTACATGACCGAACAGTTCGGTCCGAATATGTGGACGGCAAGTGACTTAAGTACGGTTCAGTAATGATGATCTACTCCAGGATAAGCTAGTCCAACTTCGTTACTGGCCCGAGGGCCGAAAGTTCGGTGCGAATGCAGGGGAATGTAAGACGGTCATTTGAAACCAGGGGTAAATCCAGGGTAGAGTTGACGGCAGTTTGTATTAGAGTTCAACTTATTTTAAATAAGTGTCAGCATTTCCTGCGTCCAACTGATGCTTGTGTCGTAGAGGTAACTTGGCAATTTCTCGAGATACAAACGTATTACACCATATCCTGAACGTAATTGATTGCATTTCATCATGGAAAACAACAAAGCGCAAATGAAAACAGTCATGATTGAAGACGCTGAAGCTGGAAGAGGCGTACTACTCTATGGACAAGATGGCCAAGCACGAAAACTACCAATTCCCTCGACAGACCCCAACGACCCTCTCAACTTTGCACCCTGGCGCCAGCGACTCGTTATTGCAGGCGTCTGTATCTACGGCGTAGCGGGTTTTGGCGTCATACAGTCGACTCCCCTTTTCTTCGGCAAGCTCATACAAGAGTACAAGGGACTGACACATGGAGTGAGTTGTAACTTACCTACAAACAATGGGGCAGCTAATGTCTTGTTAACATAGGAGTTTGACCCAGAACGGATTGTTGATCTGGCCAGCTATCCCTCTTTGTGCATGGGCCTAGGAAACTTCCTTTTCGTCCCTTTGTCTATGGCACTAGGTCGAAGGTTCACCCTTATCCTGTGCAATATGCTGTTGCTTGCTTCCGTCATTTGGGCCGCCAAGTCGCAATCTTTCGAGTCTCATTTTGGAGCCCGCTGTCTGCAAGGGCTCACAGCCGGCATTTCTGACTGTTTGGTATGTGAAATGTTCATTATCTGTCGGCGCCAATCAGCTAACCATATAAGCTCCCCATTGTCGTGATGGACCTGTCATTTCTCAACCAGCGTGGCTCTCGACTTGTAGCCTACTGGACTTTCACAGCAGTTGGTTCGTCACTATTATTAGTCGCAACACCATTTGTTGTTGATTACGCTGATGGTGACTGGCGTACAAACTATTGGTTCTGGACCGCATGGGCAGCATTCTCCCTTGTGATCGTTCTACTAGTAGTACCTGAGACATACTTCATCCGGCCTGTCGCAGCACTGAGTGGAAAGTTCCACGCCACTGATGCATACGGCACACATCGAACATTTGACACCATTGAACTTGCCCGCGAAGCTGGTTTCGATGTGGATATGAGCTGCCCAAACACCACACCCAAGTCCCCATCGTATACCAGACAATTCGCACCTTTGAATATCCAGCCATTGCCCATCACCCGCTTCTTAGGTTCATTCCGGGATGTGTTTACATGCATACTTGTACCAGGCACTCTCTGGGCACTTATTCTCAACAGCGTGGTGTTTGGAGGTCTTGTCGTCCTGAGTCTCACCTATAGCCAACGGTTAGAGATGGAGCCTTGGCACTTCAGTCCCTCTACAGTCGGAACTGTTCAACTAGGAGCTGCCATCGGCGGACTTGTGGGACTTGCCTACGGAGAAATAACGGAGCTTGTCAGCCGTTATCTAACGCATCGTAACGGAGGCTTACGTGAACCTGAGCATGTCCTTCCCAACTTTATTCTTCCCTCCGTCGTGGCATTTCTCGGCATGATTGCCTATGGCGTTGTGGGTGCGGAACCTACCAAATACAGCTGGGTAGGGATACATGCTTCCTTTGCTCTATACTACTTTGGCTTCTGTTCACTCTCGGCTATCACTGGCGTCTGGCTTGGCGAGTTACTCCCTCATATGTCAGGCCCTGCGATTGTGCTGGTTTGTGGAGGTAGAAATGCTGTCTCGTTTGGTTACAGTAATTCTTTTGGTTCTTGGATCACGTTTCTCGGGTTTGCACAAACCTACATCTTGTTTGGCGGTATCCTTTGTGCCCTTGGATTTCTCTCCATTCCCATATATTTCGTCAACGGTCGTATTCGCATGGCAATGTCTCGTGTTGCCTTTCTGAGTGCGTATTAAGATGGTCAAGTTCGGAAGCTTTATGCGTCAGCAATGTTTTAGGTGGACTTGAACTATAAGTAAAGTAGCCATGGCGAATCTGATAGCCGTTGCGCCACCGGTAATTAAGATGATTTCATCTGCAGCAGAACTAGTTGGCTTCCTGGGTTTATCCGAAGTCCGGGGTGTCATGCGTATGCACGTCGACAATGCTTAATAAGGGTGGCGCTGATTGCTTATCTTCTAAATGTCGGACCGCTGAAGCTCGCATTTCAGCGAAATACAACCCCAGCAGCGGGCCATGGTCAACACTATGAGTAGCACGTATTCTCCTGGTGAACGCTTCTCCTTAGTCGCATCCTTTTACGGCCCAGGAAACATCGCCTCATGGCTTTGCATGGTGGCATCCGTCCTGAACACTTGGTGCCTGAACGCGCAGTCTCGTCGGACAGATAGCATTAGCGCGGATCTTGTTGTCGTTTTAGCGATTCCAGGTGTTGCAGCAGGACATGCTATCTATATCCTTTTCTTTGGCAATGCGAACCATGAGTCGATCCAGCATCTGTTTACCAGCGCAAATCCAGAAGTGGTAAAGCATGCGGCAGCTGCCGAGGCGGCGCTCAATGTATGCGAAACATTCTCTTTGATAGCTGTACTTCTGGTGTTCGTCTCCACGTTCTTCGGTCATCTGAGGCGTACACTGGCCGTCGTTACTGTTGGCCTACTGGCCTTCTCGACCGAGGCAGTTGTATTTATGCAAATGAGGGGAGTCAGCATATCGGACACCAATCTCACACGCCCATTCCTCTTCAACCTGTTTGAGGTTATGGTGTCGTTAGTGGTGTTTGTGGCAGTATGGCTTACTGTATTTAGTATTCTGATTATATGCCTACGGTTGGGCATAATCGAGGGACCCGAGGAACAAATAGAGGTGGAATCCGCTAATACCGAGCTCGAAACAGAAGTGAGGGCAGCCCTAAGGGAACAGGCTATTGATATAGACTCGGTAGTGCGGTGGGAAAGCCAACAACAATCCGCCATGGCACTCCATCTCATTGAGGCAGAAACCCGAGATGGAAACCCAATGCGGACCTTGACGCTTCTTTAAATTTTGTTCCTCCCCCTCTCCTTTTACGCTTCTCTAGCCTCTCTTAGCACGCCCTTGGGAGCGTTTAGAGAAACAAGCTTCATACCATCGCCGAATCTGGTTGCTGCCGTCTTGTTCTTCGTTCCAAGAACCACGACTGACATTACAGAGCTGGGTCAGATGGTGTCCCTCAGTGTCGGCATTATTACCCTTCTCTTCAGTTTTTGGGGCGCCTTCAAATCTCAAAAGAAGGAAGAGTCGAGGGCGCGACAAAAGAGCAGGAAGCAGGCAGCATTTCGTCGGAAAAGCTGGCACCAAAGACGGTTGAATGCAGGTCTTTATCTCCTCCACCAGGTAAATGATGAACTTGATGAAACCGAGGATGAAACAAGAAGACAAGAGCTCTTGGATAAGCGGAATTTAATAATGCTTGAATTGTTTAGGGCGGTAAGCTTATAAGTCTGCTCTATGTAAGGGACAAGGTCACAGTCTGTCAGCTGCAGTATAACAGGAGAGCGGCGCCTAGATGCTAGCACAGGCGAAAGTCTTTTTGTCCATACTATAGCGACTGTTCGGATAGGTCTATAGATTCGCCTTTTTCCCGCCAGAATTGTACCTTTTCTTTGCATCTAGAACGAGGACAATTTGTCTCGCCGAACAAATCAAGTCCATTCCCTCGTCGCATATCATGATATCCATATCCATCCTACCACCTTGGAGCTTCTTTGTTTCAACGCGACTGAAGATCCATCGAAGTCCCTCCTTCGGAAGTTGCCTTTTAAATTCGATATCTAAAGACAACGTGTTCTCACTGAACTTCGCATTTGCTGCCTCGGCCAGAGAAGTCTCCATCTCGCACACAACCCCGGGATTCTTGTCTGCCCAGTCTTCCATCTTGCGGAGGTTATTTCGCCCATCATACATTTCTCCGTTACGTAGTAATGTATCTGCCATAGAAGGCATGAAGTCGCACATGAAAGCTAAGTGCGATGCGTTCATGAATTCCCCGGTGAAGCTGTTCCACGCATCCATCAGACCGTCGACTTGCATTCCGCCTCGCTCATACAGAGATACGATACGGCGGCCCATAGGGAATACTTCGCCTTTCGTGAGTCCAGGAACCCATGTAAGGTCAGGCTCATTAGCTTCAACCTTACGAAAGTCGGGTCTAGAGGTAGAAGGAGGGTTCAGAGTCCACTGGGTATTGCACGTGGGACCAAGAGATTGGGCGAAGTTTGTGGACGTTGCAAGACCTACGACCCTCAGCTGTTCATTCTGTAACACCTGCAGCTGGATAGTGCAGTGAGAGCTGCCGCGCTTTAGCTCTAGGATGTTAATATCGAGTGTTTCCGTAGTGCAATATCGCAGGTATTCCAGATGAAGGGTCAGGACATCAGGTTGGTTGTACTTGGCGAGGGCTGTGGTGAAATGTTTTACAGCCGCAGAATGAATTACTGCAGCAATGCAGCCGCCGTTAAGAGCTAAGGTGATGTAAGCAGTGAACTGGCTGTTTCTCAATTGATACTAACCGGGGCCCATAGTCCAATCATACGGCGCGGATACAGAGTAGGACGATGGTCCAGTCTGCTGAGGTGTGACTTCCTGTTGAAATGTTCTAGCCATCCTATCTTTATGTTTGGACAATTGGCAACTGTCGATAGTTAATTGAAGGAGGGGAAGGGTAGGAAGTGCTCTGGGGTGTTTTTGTTCTTCTGTAACTGTAAGCATGCTTATTACTGTTAAAGGCTAGCGCTGACAACAACGCAAACCTCTAACCGAGGTAGCCAACAATACCAGTACCGATTTTCTATATCACCTTTATTCAGCAACATCAAAGTATCTTGTAAATACAATGGTATATAACTTCCCAGGGATGGTTGATGTGATATTTGTTGACCTCTTTGTAAGGTGACCACCTTGGACTTCTTGTGCTGATATAGATTAAAGGCCAAGATGCAATCGATAAACAGCGGGGCGAGGTTTTTTATCCTGCTGTAAAGCGGACAACCTTGTTCTCGATGGCTAGAAGAAGAAGCATGGCCTCGATGTAAGCTTAGTGACACGGTACAAAAACGCGGCGGGGCAAGACCTGAGAACAAGATTAAACCTGTCGTCTCTGGCTAGGGTGCCAAACTCTACTCTTTCACTGGAATATGTCAATGGTCTCTCTTATTTAATTGCCTCGAAACTTGGGTACTTTGTCTTTTCAAAGGGGATGGATGTTATCGATATAGAACGTTAGTTGTCAAGGTGGTTTAATAACTTTCTAGAATAGTTCGTCAATTTAAGTCTACTGAATTCTTTCTCAGTACATTCATGCTTTAGAGTTACACCTTATAAAACGGGAGAATTATTTATTGTCTTATGGGGCATGCATATGCCCGAGAGGCATGTAAAGCCTTCCATATGACCCAAGAAGCTACTAAAAAGGCAAAGAAAAAGAACAGATTCACATTCATTCTACAATATATATCTAACAAATCTTGGAGCTTAATTACAATAACGTCGAAGCTGTAGCTGTTTCTGAGAAAAGAATATAAAAAGAAAAATGTTTATCTTTATATTACATTGTAGGAATATATCTTTATTGAAACTTGAAAACTTCCATTATTAATTCAAACATAATTGCAAATGAACTATGGGAAACTTTGTTAAGTGTAGCTATTTGATGGTTCTATACAATTTCTAAAGTCTGATACTGACTTTTTCCCTCGCTCTAAAGCTTTAAGTTCTAAAATGTAGAAGTAAGCTTATTCTCAAATAGTCTATATTACTGGCTACCACAGAGACAGATTAGAACTATACACAAAACGTTCTCCAAGGCTATGAATGAAACTTTACCATATGAGTATTTTTACTTGTAACTTTAAAAGACTAAAACGAAGAAGTGTCAGCTTCGCCTTTAAGGTACCAATGCACAAGTCGGTAACGGTCGGTGAGCATGCGCCCTATGACAAGCAGAGAGGAGGATGACCTCACCACCCCCCCTGTCAGGCTTATGCAGGATCCAGCTTCTATTGTAACATTACCACTACTGGTGATAATGCAGCTCTGATCTGACCTATCAACCTATGATCTCGACGTATAGTGGGTTTCTAGAAATGAAGGGGGCCTCGCGATTGATTCCGGGATGTGGAAGTTATGTAGTTTCAATGTTACAACTGATGCTGGTTTGTCCGATTTGTCCGTTCCTCATACACTGAAAATACTCTCGCACGTAACATGGTGACTACTGTAAAAAAATAAACAGCTTCCCTTTGTCTGCTGTTTTGACTCGTGCCATTATCATTTATCACCCTAAACATTTTTCTTCGGTATCAATCACGTACCGGCATCATAAAATACTCGTTTCAATCAACCAATCAACCAATAAGAGAGTAAGTTCAGGTTTACAAAGCTACTTTCGACCATGGATCAGAGTCGAGCCAACAACATTACCGCCTGTTCTTCACGGGAAGGATCTGGAGGACGACTGTCTCAGGTAAGATCCCCCACAATTTGACAAGAATGAGCACCTAGGCTAATACGGAATATAGGCGACGACTCCATCAACCCCACTACAGCAGTTTGACGCTGCTCATCGCCAGGGATTAATGATGGACCGATGGATGAAAGAAACCCCAAAGAATGAACCATATCACGGTCTGGTGGTGACCGAAGTCGACAACGCAGCTTCACGCCCATGAGGTATTGATCAGCTACAACCTGACAAATATAAGTTACCACACATGGGAAAGAACATCGGGAAATATAGCTGGCTTTCACTCTTTCCTAATGATGTAGCCGTTTCCTGCAAGTCTGTATTTAACACTGGTAACTTGCAATCAGCAGTATAGAGACTTGAACTAAATTGAACACGCGTGCTACTCAGCAACAATTAGTACTATATTGACAACTGAGACTGTCACATACTGAGAGAATGTCGTTTCCTATAAAAATTATCAAAGACGTATCCAATCTGTCTGTCGAAGCCCTGGCCGCTTGTTGTTGCGGCTATTCCACTTTCGACATCAATCATAATACAAGATTGCAGTGATAGAGTTACCCAGTATTGAGAAAGAACTAATAATAAAATTCTCTTTCCAGAAAATTATAGACTACAATGATTGCACTGCTGACATTCGTTTATGCCCCTGCAGAAGATGACACTGGAGGTTTATTATAGTGGAGTTGATTACTGCAGTCAAGTCATCAGAGCCTGGAACATTTAATTTGAGTTCCCTTCGTATTATTCATGTTTCTCCATATATACCATCTACACCTATTGTGTTATCTATAGTCTCGCAATAGCCCGTTCTTGAAGTTCTACCCACTCTCTAATAGTTCGAAGTAACCCTTCAACTTCTGTTACAATATTCCCAGCATGCAAACAAATCCTCACCCTCTCGCTCCCTCTTGGCACAGTTGGTGCAACAATAGGCCTTATCGTGAATCCCTTCTCCTGACAAAACTGCGCCAAGCTTCGCGGCTCGGATGTAAACAAGGGAATGATGGGTGACTTTGGTTCTCCGTTAATACGAACTATCGAAGTTGTCGAGGTCAAAGAGAGAAGAAGTCTGTGTGCATGAGCCACAAGACTCCACAGATGCGTGAGTCGTGCATCGATAAAATCGCCCTGCAAGTATTGATACGACACACTGATACTTGCAAGACACGAAAATGGCAGTGCAGTGGTGTATATCAATGTTCTCGCGTAGTTGATCAGATACTCTCTTGTGATGGGCGAGCATAAAACGATGGCTGTATACGTTAGTAACTGTTTTTTTTTTCTTTTTTTCTTTTTCCAGGAAGTCCTCTTACCTCCAAAAGAGCTCATTGCCTTCCCAAAGGTATGTAGCCTTGCGAAGATATCCTTTTCCAAGCCTAATTCACAAACTAAACCTCGTCCTTGTTGACCGTATATGCCCGTGGAATGAGCTTCATCGACAATGATGTAGCCGTTTCCTGCAAGTCTAGATTTGACACAGGACACAATATCTCTCAAAGGAGCAACATCTCCATCCATACTGTAGACTCCTTCAACGAGAATAAACACGGACGTTTCTTCTTCAATGCCCGCAAGAACATGATCAAGACCACCCTCCCCATTAACACAATTGTGTTTAAACGAGATCTTTCTTGCAGCTCGACTCAATCTCATGCCATCATGAGCACTAGCATGAACAAGCTCATCGTAGACAATTACATCTCCAACCTGAGGCAAACAGCTCACAATACCCACGTTAGCGTCAAAGCCAGAATTGAAGAGTAATCCAGAAGGAGCATCGTGAAAAGCCGCAATATCTCTCTCTAAATCTTGTGCAAAGCTAGAATTTCCATCTAGCAAGCGAGAACCACCAGATCCCAATGATGGGTGATTTTGAAGATGATTGTGATAAGCCGAGAGTAAAGACGGTACTGAAGATAGAGAAAGATATGCGTTTGAAGAAAAGTCGACGTTTGAAGAGGGAAATGTTGTGAGTTTTCGAAGTTGAGATCTTTCAGAGCGTTTTGATAAACAAGATGCCAACTGTTGTTCCAGTCTAGACATTTTTAAAATTACACAAATATTTCTGATTATGTAGTAGCTTGTTATATATATGCATATAAATACTCTAAAATTGTTGAGTGTTGAGCAGAGCCAAAATGAGCCTTTTTCCCCGCCGGACCACAATGCCGATCACGTTAATCCGATTATAAGCCGCATCATTCTCCCATTGAGCCGAAGAGACCACATTTCATCTTCACAATTCTTTTTTTCCTTGCAGTAATCGTTGTTGCGGTAGGGAAAATGGCTCCAGTGCCAGCTCTCTTATGGCGTTCTTTACGCACGCACCAAGTTTATGGTGCGAACACAGACGTTGGAAAGACTATCTTTAGCACTATTCTGTGCAATTCTGCATCCAAGAAAGGAGATAAGACGTGGTTTTTGAAACCTGTTTCTACGGGTGCTGCTGATGAAGCTGATGGATGGTGTAAGTTTGCAATTGTATGGAAAGGGTTGAGCTAACTTTGTAGATGTTTGATGATCTATGTAGAATTCTTCTAACAGGAGTAGTCATATCCAGAAATTTGCTCCATCGACAAACCACGAGACATTGTTCCAATATGACATTCCCTGCAGTCCTCACATCGCTGCCAAAGTGTCAGGCAAGGTAAGATGACCAATTGAGTACTGGACCAAGCTCACAAATTAGCCAATTCCGTCCGATGATGCCGTCCTGGCAAAGATTCACGACTCTGTCTCTCGGTACGCGTCCGAAGGTCCAGGGTGGTTGTTTTTAGAAACTGCTGGAGGTGTACACTCGCCAGGACCATCTGGAACACCACAAGCCGATCTCTACACTCCTCTTCGCGCACCTGTTATTCTTGTCGGTGATTCAAAGCTGGGTGGTATATCACAGACCATCTCTGCGTATGAATCACTGAGAATGAGGGGTCATGATGTTGAATCGATTCTCTTGTTTCAAGACATGAAATATGGGAATTATCAGTATCTCAAGGACTATTTCTCAAAACAAGGCGGTATTCCGGTCGATACAGTTCCTGAACCGCCTTCTCGATTACCGAATATCCAACAAGATACAGAGCAGATGAAAGAATATTACGCCTCTCAGACCAAAAACGTTGCACATGTCCTCGAACATCTCGACAAACGCGGTAAACAGCGCAGATCTCGGCTTGAATCGCTCAGTGAAAAAGCGAGTAAAAGTATCTGGTACCCGTTCACCCAGCAAAAGCTTGTGACAGCAGATACAATCTCTGCTATCGATTCAGCACATGGCGATTATTTCCAAGTTCTCAACAAAAAGTCAGAAAATCTTCTTCAACCTGCTTTCGACGGGTCAGCATCTTGGTGGTCTCAGGGTTTAGGACACGCAAACTCTCGGTTGACCCTTGCAGCAGCATATGCAGCTGGTAGATATGGGCACGTCATGTTTGCCGAGGCTATTCACGAGCCTGCACTTGCACTAGCCGAGATGATGCTACAGGGCTCTCAAAACTCACGCTTCACAAGGGTGTTCTATTCTGATAATGGAAGTACCGGCTGTGAAGTGGCTGTTAAGATGGCCCTTCGAGCAGCAAGACTTCGTTACGGCTGGGGTCCCAATGATAACCTTCAAATTCTAGGGCTCAAAGGGAGTTATCACGGTGACACCATTGGTGCAATGGACTGCGCTGAACCGTGTGTTTACAATGAAAAGATTGAATGGTACGAAGGGAAAGGATATTGGTTTGACTATCCCACAATTCAATGCGTTGAAGGAAACTGGGTTGTTAGTGCTCCGAAAGAAATCGGGCAAGACCAAAAATTGGAGTCCATCTCGGAGGTTTTTAACCTTGAATCCCGACTCAAATCCGAGCAGTACCGAAAGTATGAGGAATACATCGAAAAGACTCTCAAGAAACTCCAAGATCAAGGGAGAAAATTCGGAGCCTTGATGATGGAACCAATTATTCTTGGTGCTGGGGGTATGATATTCGTGTAAGTTGTTGTCTTGTTTCTGTCACAAGCTGATACTGACTTGTTCAGGGACCCCCTCTTTCAGAGAGCTTTAGTGGATGTTGTTAGGCGTTCCCCTCACTTATTCGGCACTGGAAACGACCCAGTCCAAGATCCACAGTGGTCTGGACTCCCTGTAATTTTCGATGAAGTCTTTACCGGCTTGTACCGATTGGGTCGGTTTACAGCGGCATCATTTCTCGGCGTTGAACCCGATATTTCGGTCAACGCCAAACTTCTCACTGGAGGTTTAGTTCCTCTCTGTACGACAATGGCATCGGAGTCTATCTTTGACGCATTCAAGAGCGACGACAAAAGTGATGCTTTGCTTCATGGGCACAGTTATACTGCCCACGCTGTTGGATGTCAAGTCGCTGTTGAGTCGGTATCTGAGATGCAGACAATGGAGAAGAATGGTGAGTGGAAGTGGGCAGAGAAAGATTGGGCTGAAGAAGAAACTCAAGCTTGGAGTGTCTGGTCTAAGGACTTTGTGACGGATATCTCACGTAACCCTCAAGTACTTGGTGTTTGGGCTTTGGGAAGTGTTCTTGCCATTAGTCTTCGCGATGACGATGGTGTAGGGTACAAGAGTCTTGCCGCCAAGAAGATTCAGAGCCATTTGAGACAAGGAACTGGAGCCTGGAATGCTCATAGTAGAGTTTTGGGCAATGTGTTTTATGTCATGGCGAGTCAAAAGACGAGTCGACAGAGTATTGCTGAGTTGCAGGGTTTATTATTGGATGCTTTGAGTAAATAGATAGACTGTATCCATCATTTTACCGCATTATATCTCTCTGTTTGCATTTTATGCAGTTATGTAGATGATCATCATCCAAGCGAAAAGTCTTGATCGCTATTGGTCAATCAAGAGGGGACAGTTACATCACACTGAAGAGCCTTCAACCTTGCATCCTCACTTACAAACCTTCAAGTCACATTAAATCTACAAAATGAACGCCCAAAAACCAGCAGAAAAGACACGAGAGCAGTCAATTGCCGAATTTGATGCTCGAACAAAAACAATTCAACAAGATCATCCAGATGTAGATTTCAAGTCTACTGTCATTGAACCCACGATGAATCTCATGTTTGACATCAAGGTTTGTCCCTACACGCTAAATAATCATGATTAATACTAACTAATAACAGGAAAACCTCAAAGAAGACGACAGGGAAAAACATGAAAAACTCATCACTCTCATGCTTCAAAACACGACAGATCCTGAAAAGGCTGAAAAGTACCTTTGGGAAGCGAGAAACTATCTCAAACCTCACCCAGAGGTCCTCAAACAGTTTGATGACATTTACATAAACAAGAGACCCGTCTCTGTCATGATTTCTCAGTTACACGATGCCATCAACGCAAAGCCAAGTCCTCTCAAAGAGACATAAACTTGAAAACACCCCCTCTTGAATAGCTCACATGACGCCCCATCAATAGGGCGCGATGACGAGGTTTTTAGTCTAGTCTCAACCAATCATATCCCGTCGCTACTTGATGACTACTCCATCAAATCAACTTTCCATTTCTTTCCACCTGCATTAAACTTACATTACATTGCATATCTCTACTATCAACAACCCGTGATACCTCATCATGACTTATAACAACCAACCCGTCTTTACAGACTTGGATCTGCTCGATGGTTTCATCAGTGACGACTTGACTCCTTATGTCTCTGACTCTGCACCGCCATATCAAGATGTGACGCCCAGTTTCAATACACAACTCGATCCTACTCAACTATATCAACCACAACCCCAAACACAATCAACCCCAGCAAAAGTCGGAGGGCGTTTCACAAGAGAATCAGTTCGCATTTTAAAAAATTGGCTTGCTACACATCAAAGTCATCCATACCCAAGAGAACCAGATCGAAAGATGCTTCAAGAAGAAACAGGACTTACAAAGACTCAAATCTCCAATTGGTTAGCCAATGCACGTCGCAGAGGGAAGATTCCATCTAGTGCTTCATCTCCAGGACACAGCACAAAAGCAATGGATATACCGCCCAGACCCGGTACACCTGCTGTCAGAAACACGTCAGAAATGGATCCCCTCCAGAGATGGGTCGACTCACCGCCTGAAGACGAACCTGCGGCCGTGACAGCCATTGCTAGAGCTGTAGCTTCAGTAAAACCGTCATCAGGTATGTTCATCAACAAATAACGAATATTCACTAACATAATAGGTTCAACGAGTCCATATACGAGACTTTCCCGTACACCTTCAGTCAGAAGTGCTGGAACATCACGGTCCAGCTCTATAAGTTCTGTCCATTCTCATACTAGCCAAACCTCTTTTGGGCTCAATGGTCTATTCAGTCGCGGATCCTCTCGGCGCAGAAGACGAGCATACAAGGAAGAACGAAGATCTTTGGCAACAACACACAAAGCATTCCAATGTACATTTTGCACAGAGACATTTCGAGCAAAGCACGACTGGCAACGACACGAAAACTCACTACATTTACCACTCGAGCGATGGGTCTGCAGTCCCGAAGGACCACGTGGTCAAAAAGATGACAGCCCTGAAACACGTTGTGTTTTTTGTGGACACGTTGATCCAGACGATGCTCACATCGAAGGGCATAACTACTCAGCATGCAAAAACCGACCAGTTCAAGAACGCACGTTTAATCGAAAAGACCATTTGAACCAGCATTTGAAACTCGTTCATAATGCCAAATTCGCAGAGTGGCCCATGAGACAGTGGAAAGCACCTCCACCAGCAATTCAATCACGATGCGGCTTTTGTAACCTCGTCATGGAGAATTGGAGTGATAGAGTTCATCATCTAGCGGATCATTTCAAAGCTGGCAAGACTATGGCTGATTGGAAGGGTGATTGGGGATTTGAACCGCATATTCTTGAGCTTGTCGAGAACTCGATACCTCCTTGTGAGTAGGATCCACGGTTTGAAAGGCGTTTCTGACAAACTAGACTTTATCGAGACGGAAAGAAATAGCCCTTTTCCTTTTGAAGGTAGCAGGGCACTTGTCGAAACACCACGGACAGCGTATGAGTTGCTCAAATTAGAATTGGCATATTTCATGCAGAATCATTTCTATCAACACGCAAGGATGCCAACAACAGACGAAATGCAACTCGAGGCTTGTCGAATTCTTTTTGCATCAGAGCCTTCGTCTGGAGGTTTAGTATGTTGTTCCTGGTTACGAGATCTAGTTTTTTCCAACGCGGAAATATCTCAACAAGCACAATTCGGACCTATGAGAACCAACGCAGAAAGTCGACTCTCATCAATGGAAATCAGCGGCAAGAACAACATTTTCGAAGGATGTCCTTTTGAAACACAGCTTCAAGAATTTGTACATGCTAAACAGCTCTTGGGGTTAAGTATAAGGGATGATGAATTGAGAGAAGAGTGTTGTATGATTGTAGGGCGTCTTGAAGAAGTCTCTGCAACACCGTCCGACTTTATCGCCAACTGTTTTATAAGATTAATCCACTCACCAGGCGATTGGTTACTTCCGTTCCGTCAACGAACAGGTATTGAATTAATCGGTCTTTCAGAATGTCTCAACCTAAACGCTATGATACAAAATTACACGCGTTTAGAGCAAGAATTGGGTTCATATCTCAACATGCAACGCGTTATAGGGTTGGAACCAACCGACGAAGACCTTCGTCATCAAGCAAGGGTTATCGTCCATGGAACGGATTCACTCCTGAATCATACAGCTGCAGATGACGATTACTGGCTCGCAGCATTTAAACAACGACATTCCACCACCGGCGACACCGCTGAGACATGGAACACGCCTTTACGACCAGATCCTCATATACTAGCAGCTCGATCTCTAGTTCTCAAGACAAGTACTGCGTTTTTAAATGATCATAATTATTGGAGATGGTTTACGCAGGAGTTGAGGAGGTGGGTGGCTGCTATCATGTCGCCTCATAATCCAGCGAGCAGAGTACCTTCAGATGAAGAGATTCAACATTATGCAAGATGGATCAGTTATAACGAGTAAGTTTTGTCTCTCTTGATGGGTGATATAGCTAACGTTTAAGTGATGATCCCTTTAATCAGACTATTGCGGAGAATAAGGATTGGTTGGAGGCGTTTAAAAGGGATGTTGGTATTGATGGGGTTAAACCTACAGGATGATGGATAAAAGTCGACAAGACTGGATGAAAGCAATTTCTGTTATTTCACGGCGGTTATTAGAATACTCATTTAAAACATAGTTCCGATTATATTTCACGCGAGATGAAGTCTCCAGCATTGATCTAGGTACTACTTCTACCACACCACATTGTATGCCAACCTCAAACTATCAACGCCTTGAAAATAGCTGTGATCCAAGAACGAGATCTTGCGATGCCAAGAAATAAGAAAAACCTGCCTTCTTCGCCCTTCCAAACCATTCTAAGATGGGGATACTGGGGAGTTTGCTCAAGCTATCATCAGACTCGACCACTGTAGCGAACGATTCCACATAAGCTCGCTGATGTGCTTTGTGTTCCAAAATGCAAAGTCCTTCTCCAGCTTGAGAATTGAGAGCAGCCTCGTGAATAGCTTCAACGACCTCGCTGACGGGCATGACATCTACAAAGCCGCCCACTCCGTCGAAAGATGGTCGACATTCGAGCAATTTGACGATTTGCATAAGTTCGTTGACAATGGACATGTCTTCCTCTTCTGATTGATGCACTGATTCGCATTCCACAGGACGGTGGCTGAAAACAGGTAGACCGATTGAGTTAACAGCTTGTTTCAGGAAAGCCTCTGACGCCCATTTGGTAGCCACATAGCCGTCACCACCATCCGCCGGAGGTGTTAGTCCGTTGCTGTACTTGACGACAGCGCCGGATGACATGAAGTGTAAAGGAATGGCTCGGCCCGAAGAAACAACGAATTTGACGAGCTCCTTTGTTGAGTCCAGATTGTCGGCCTTCAAAGCTTCGTATCTGTCCCAGAAGGATCTGTTGGCAGCACAGTGAATGATAACATCTACTTCTGTCGCCAGCTGAGAAAATTTCGACTTAGATATACCCAAGTTGTGCTCCGTAAGATCACTTTGGGTGATCTTGACTTTGCTATCAGGATCATCCACCATCTTGTCATTGTTCAAAGTGCGGCACAGGCAATGGACTCGCGCCACACGATGATCCTTGATCAAGCTGGAGAGAAGGTGGCGTCCAAGATAGCCCGACGCACCAGTTAGCAGAACATTGATATCAGTAGTTTTGCCAGCGACACGGAGTGGTGTTGCGAGCTGAAGATTATGGGGGAAATTCGTCTCTACGTCCCAGTTGATGATATTGACAGGGCCGCAGTCCTCAAGAACACTTGCCATGGCGCCAAGAGTGCTTGATCCCATCAGTGTCACGAGCTTGGGTGCTGTCCATGATAAATGTCTTAGCAAGGCTTGGAGCTTCACTAGAAGAATTGAATTGCCTCCGATGAGGAAAAAGTCCGATTCGTGAGTGAGAGAACCAGGGTCGAGGGGCAGGACGCGGCGCCAGAGCTCGCTCAACCTTTGTTCGGAGTCAGTTAGACTCTGAGAGATTTCTGACTGGGCTATCTGCACGGGAATATCTTGGATTGCCTTTCTGTCGATCTTGAGATGGGCAGTTCTTGGTATGTCTGGTAGTATCTGGAATAGAGATGGACGCATGTAAGGCGGAAGTGGGAGCGTTTGTCTGAGTGCTTTCATGACGCCTTCTCGATCCTGTTCTGGGAGCTCTGGGGCAAAAACGACATGAGCTGCCAGATAACGACCTTCCTCGCTTCATCTTACGGTAACAACGGCATGGGAGAGAGCGCCAGCAGAATGTCTAACGATAGTCTTCTCAACCTCATCCAGCTCAACACGGAAACCACGCAGTTTGATCATTGTGTTTCCTTCCAGACGGCCATCGCAGAATAGTAACCCGTCAGGGGATAGCCGGCCCCGATCGCCACTACGGTACACGGGCCACCAAGAACAATCTCGCCCTGGACACCAAGAGGTAGTGGCCGCATCTTGTCATCCACAATGCAGACGGAAAAGCCGGGCCATGGATATCCTGCAGGTAAAGGGTCGGGAAGATCAGGATCCGCATACTTGAGGTCGATTCTGTGAGAGAGAATCGTAGTCTCGGCTGGTCCATATCCGTTGAAGACGTGAAGATTAGTCAACTTCAGACTGCCAAACTCGCGGGCGAGTTTGTAGCTCATCGCCTCACCGCCAGAGAATGCGTATTTCCATGAGGTGCATTGACGTATGGTTTCGGTGCTGTATCGAAGTCAGAGACCGTATTCTGAAGGAGTGGCAGTTGTATAGCTCACAGACTCCTCAACCATGATTTTACTGATTTCGTCTGGATCGCCTCTCTTGCTGGTAGGTACAACGTACAGGCATCCACCGTTGGTCAGAGCGGCCATGGTTTGATCGAGCGAGAAGTCGAAACTGAATGGACTCTGCTGAAGCACCACAAGGTCTTCATCTGCCCTTGCAAAAGTCTTGCTTGACACTTCGGCGTACGACGCGAGATTTGTGTGCGTCATCATGAGACCTTTGGGTTCGCCGGTAGAGCCGCTAGTGAAGAGGATGACAGCGAGAGATCCGACCTTGGCATGGTTGATACTAGTAGAGTCTCGACGGGTCGACTCATCAAGACTAGCGAGCTGGAGTTTGGTGACGAACTTGGCACCGATGAGTTCTACCTTGTCATCCGTAGTACCATCCGTGATAATGACGGAAGGACGAGACGCCTTGACAATACTGACCAAGCGAGGAATGGAATTGCGTAGATCGAGAGGAACATAGACGGCTCCAGCTTTGAAGATTGCAAGCAAAGAGCAGATCCAGTCAGCAGAAGGCTCCTGGAATACACCAACAACCGTGCCCTGAACTGTTCCAGCGTCTATCAGTGCCTTGGAGATAGTGTTGATTCGGGTGCCCATTTGTTCGTAAGTCAGCACATTCCCGTTACCATCTTTCAGAGCAGACTTTTCAGTGTTGTTCTGGATCACCTGGTCGATCTGATGGCTGATGGTTGACTGCCACTTAGGCTCAAATTCCGGCGCTGAGAATAGAAGTTAGATGATTGTGATGCAGCGTGATTCCCGTCCGATTACTTACCCTTGCCAGCATCAATAGAAGCCTGAAGATCATAGCTGGACCAAGTAGGAGCTACATCAACAGCCTTGTCGCTTCCCCGAACCATATACTCAAGCACGCCCAGGTAAGAACGAAGTAGAACATGGGTATGATCTTCAGAATAAAGCTGCCTTTGCAGTCTCAAGCTTAGAAGCGTATCGGTGTTAATATTCTCCGTTACCTCCAAGGCAACGTCATACCCAGTGCCAGCATTACACCACTTCTCACCCCCAAGCTTACAGCCACCCCAGGAGGACCTCTCTTGGACGACTTGTCTGTAGTCCATGAAGACATGGAAGATTGGAGTGTACTTGTCGGATCTTGGAACATTCAACTCTCGCAGAAGCACGTCGAAGGGAAGTTGGGAATGCTGTAACGCGCCATATACTGCATCCCGGGTAGTTTGGATGGTCGAGCTTACTCGTGAGCCTGGCTTGCCCCGTCGGAAGCGAAGTGGAAGAAGATTCAAGAAGAAGCCAAGACTGCCCATGAAATTCTTGTCGCCGCGATTCGCATCAGCAATTCCGATAAATACCTCGTCGGTATCGGGAAGCAGGGAGAATAGAAGAATCTTCAAAGCAGCCAAGTAAACATGGAACGAAGTAGACCGATTTGCGCGGGCAACCCGTCGGACCTTGGCTGAAATGTCAGGTGGAATGTTCAGCTTGGCTTCATGCTGCGAGTATTCGTTGGCAACTTGTCGTGAAGCTGTAGTTGCGAAGGGTAGAAGTTCAATCGGTGTAAACTCCTTAGGAAAGGTTCGACGGTAGTACTCAATGGACTTGAGAACATCACCATCCTCATACATCTTTCGCTGTTGGAGTGCAAAAGAGCGATATTGTGATTCCACTGGAAGGGGTGGAAGTCGGTGGTCGATGTGGGCAGACTCGAGGTCTTTGAAGAACACACTGAAGCTGTATCCATCGAGGTAGATGTGATGCATACCGGCCAGGAGGAAGTGCACCTGATCAGAAAGTTGAAGCAGGATGATTTTAACTCCTTCTCCACTGCTCAATGTCTGGATAGCTTGGTGGAGAGCTACCAAAAACCAGCAGTAATGTTGGTAAGAATAGATGACCAGGATGCTTCGCTTTGGATAACGCAACATCATGCTATAGGCTATAGTTCTACACGAACAGGAGTCTGGTAGCAATTAGGTAAAATATGCCTGTCACTGACCTGCCTGCTATAACTCGTCTTGGAAATGCAACATATTATCAGACTCATAAGCCCTATCTTGAGTCTCTGTCAAATTATGACATTTTAGATGAACTTACGTGAGATTCTGATGACCAAAAATTACATGTTCCCGCCTCATTATGCGGCATCTTGGCAAGTTCAGGCAGTTTAAAGGCTTTGGCAAATGCCGTCCTCCGTCTCGGTTGCAGCACATTCATCATCGCTATTTCGGGACGGGCCGCTTGCTTACCTGGCCTTAGTGTCACGGATACGGCTCATGAACCTGTTAGCCTTGAATTTTCGCATCTAGCACCAGCCGCTACCATGAAACAATGTGCCTCATACGCCGCAGACTCGCAGGGGCGAACTACTTGGATTGCGGATAATGAATGCCAAGCGACTTGGCTGCAGCTAGCAAGTGCAATCAACTTGTATCATTGATTCGTTGTCTATTGTATCTTACTGTGAGTTCCAAGGCCAATTCAATGACCCCATCGCATCTACCGTCTCTAAACGTCATCTGTTAGTTAGCCTCTGAATAAATACAGGGACATGTCGGCCAATGTGACTAACCGTCCATCTCTTGCCACTCAGCTGTTGGTGTAATCATGGGCGCTGAAATAAGATCATCCGCAAATGTTTCCCAATTTGGCATCAGAGCGGAATTGAACATCGGGAATTGAGAGCCGAGTCCACCTGGAGTCTCTTATACCCCACATGTTAGCGCCTAGATAGTACTCAAGAAACAGGTAGAGGTAGTCTATAGTGTGGCCTACCTTGGCTATAATCATTGGTCGTGGAAGATGGGTATGTCGATGGCAAGCCAAAGACAAGGCTACTCTCGCCCCCTGAATCTGCGCTTGGCGTATTGACCCTGCCCAAGACAACTGCCAGGGCTCGCACAACTTTGCGGGCCTCTTTGGACGAGTTGCTTGACTGAAGCCAAATGTCATGTGATCGTTTGAGAGACACCATGATAGTTTCGTCAAAAGAGGTAGATTCTGAAAGCTGTGGAGTTACTCCCCGGGCATGCTGTAGATAGTAGCAGAGAATGCTCGTGGCCAGAAGAAAGTCGTGGTTCACTAAAGAAGACACCCTCCATCTTTCCTGGTATAGCTGACAGAAAGGCTGCGTCTCCTCTTGAAGCATGTGTTGGTAATCAAGAAGTTTAAGTGCTGATTCCAACACGATGCGTCTAGAGCTAGCAGACTGTGCAAGAGGCAAGAACATGTACTTTCTGTGAAGGACAATCTTTGCTCTGTAGAAGATAGTCTCCAAGATAACCTTTTGCATGATTTGCTGAGGAGAATCGGTGATATTTCGTGCCATAGAGTGCCACCTGAGACATTCTGGGATTGACTTACGTGCTTGATCAAGCTTGTCATCCATTTTCTGCACTTCTGTATAGGGATATGATCTGAGATCGGCGGAAAAGTCCCAGATGTATCCAATAGTTGTCATCAACCTTGCTTTGACGAGACGATACAGAATAGGCGTGAGATCTGTATTGAGCCTCGATGGTGGCATCTCGACTGTAGCACTGTCAAAGTCGCTATCTTGAAGGTTCGAAGGCTCTTGAGTATCAGTCTGCCAATGTTTGATCATACGTGGTAGACCCATCTGAGCCGATAATCCAAGATCCATCTCGACAATTGTAGCCCAAATCCTTCTGCGCATTTCCGCTGCAAAAGGCGACAAGCCCTTGAAGTGCTTGGGGTCTCGATGATAACCCATGTGCAAGGCAAGTTGGACTGTATTCCCCATCAGGATCCAGATTTCTATCTCTGCATCGCTGCTGAGGAAGATCTCTGCTGCAATATACAGCATAAGTGTCTCCAGAACGAAGGGCCCTCCCTTGGCGTAACTTCCAAGTACGAGGCATTGGGGAATTCTCAGTCTGAAGGTATCCACCATTTCTTGCAGCTCTCGCTCCATAGAGAGAACTGCTGGTGATTGGACGCCTGGGTCGAGACGAGACTTTTCAAATTGGGTGGCTAGACACATGATAGTGAATAACAAGCCCAACCAAATTGGTGAAGTTGCTTGGGGATTTTCCCAAAACCCTTCATACTGATGGACGATATTAGCTATGGCTGGCCTCATTGGTGCATTACAAAATCGACATACCTCCTTCAGAAACTGGACGCTGTGTAATACAGCTGTTGTATGATGTAAGCCCGGTGTTGGTCGAAAATAAGGATTTCGGGTACACTAACCTGGAGACATCTCAAAAGAATTAAAGTAGCGGGACACCAACCGGTCGACTACCGAACGAGCAGGGATCGACGAGAAAATCTCATCTTTGTCAGCCGGCTTGGGGCATCCGTACAATAGCTGAGGGCCAGTGACCTGAGGACATGGAAGATCGGGGCCCTGGCTGTCAGAATGATGTGACTCTTCGTTGTCAAGGTGGTCTTTGAGCTCAGCAATGCCATCAAGGACGGCAGCCCAATGTGCACTACCTACGTAATTGGCGCCGCCTCCTGTTGACTGCATAGCTCCATAATCCGCCGGCGAAACAGCGGCGCTGATGGGCTCTTCATTTGTAGATAGAGCTGGAGCTGGATCTGGAGCTGGAACTGCAGCTGGAGTTAGGTAGCCAGGGGCGTGGGTTTGGTCAGGGGGGGACGGGGTTGCTTCGACTTGGTCTTGGACTTGAACATTGACATTGGTGGATGAATTCTGCATCAGATCATATACCAAGCTCTCGAGATGACGGATGCGATCTTGGGTGGTGGTACGCGTCTGGTGTGCCCCATGGTTACTCGAAACTCTATCTGACGCATAGGTACACGACAGACCAAGTTCCCGCTGTGCACAGCTACTACAGGGCCTTTGACGGTCGCATCGAAGTCTGTTGGGGTGTCATGTCAACACGTGGGGGTCTAATGGGTAGAAAGGCAAACAAGTGACACAGACTTTCTTCTTCTGCACAGGTTGCACGATAACTGTGGCTTCTCCCGTGGCCTGCTTGATGGTAGACGAGCTCTTCCCTGGGGTGTCTTGCCCGGACCCCACTCCGTGGGACGGACTTCCTGGGTCTGATCCGACATGGACGAAAGGAATGGTCCAGGCTCAAAGGGGAAGCCTATAGAGAAAACGTCTAGTAATCGGTATTAGGAAAAGTCAAAAGTTGGAGAATTTCTTTCTGCGTAAGAATGGAGAGACGAATTAAGATAATCACTCGTAAGTTTCAGTTATGGTATGGCTTTTGTTGAAGCTGAGTGCTTATGCTTATGCAGGTCCCATCCCTGCTTGTCATCTCGGGGCCGACCTTAGTTTCCGCTCCGATCCTCCGCTCCGATCCTCCGTCATGCATATCCGGGCCGATCCTCCACACTCGCTCCCAGATAAGAAGAAGACAAGACAATAACATTATTAAATGTTGTAAGCAGTATTTATCGGTTACAACACCAGATCTCCACTGAAAGTCGAGTCGCTGCATGCAGTCTGCAACCCCTGTCACTGCATTTACGTCCAAATAACCAACACCCTCCAAGACAACATCAGCTTCCATCAAACGACATCGGTAATAATGGCGACAACTGGTTCAGATGTTGCGACTCCGGATGATTCCCAGCTGGAGGCCGGAAGAGGAAACACTGGCATCAACATTAATAATACACTCGAGAAGCCTTCGTCTTCCACTGGCACAATGGTCGATGAGCCTACAGACCCAAACATTATTGATTGGGATGGCCCTGATGATCCTAAGCACCCACTCAATTGGCCCAAGACTCAGAAGAACCTTCACCTGGTGATTGTCAGTTTATTCACCCTTGCAGCGTAAGTAATCTATCTCCTTTCCACTGTTGTAGCAGTAAACTAATGATGGGCTCTAGTAATCTTGCTGCTACCATGTTTGCACCTGGAGCAGAAGAGCTGGCCACTGACTTTAATATCACCAACTCCACCGTCACAGCCATGACCGTCAGCCTGTACGTGCTGGGCTTCGCTCTTGGTCCACTTCTTCTCGCACCTCTGTCAGAACTTTATGGCCGTCTTATAATCTACTATGGCTGCAATTTTGCGTACATTGCATTCACCATCGGCTGTGCTTTCAGTACAAATGTCGCCATGTTTCTGGTCTTCCGAATCATATGCGGCTGCGCAGCCTCAGGTCCAATGAGTATCGGAGGTGGTACAGTAGCAGACTTGTTTCCGCAAGAGGAGCGTGGTAAAGCCATGGCACTATTCACCGTGGGACCTCTACTCGGCCCAGTAAGTCTTCTTTTTGGTTGCTATGATCGCTAGTCTAATATGTGTTGTAGGTGATTGGTCCTATCATAGGAGGCTTTGTGTCCGAGAATGTCGGCTGGCGATGGACATTCCGCATTATCCTAATATTTGTAAGCCGTATCCAGCTGGACAATTCTTCTGATGGCTGCTAACAGTGTGACATAGTCAGGATTGATTGGAGTTGTGACGGTGATCTTCATGCGCGAAACAAATTACACCATCCTTCTCCAAAGGAAAGCCAAAAAAGCTCGAATTGAGACAGGAAACGATAAACTTGTCCCAAAGTTAACCCGAAATGAGACACCAAAACAAATGCTTGCTCGAGCTATCGTCCGCCCACTCAAGCTTCTCATCTTTTCACCCATCGTTTTACTCATTTCCCTCTACACTGGTATCCTCTTCGGCCTTATCTTCTTACTCTTCACCACTTTCCCTTCCGTCTTCCAAGATGTATACGGTTTCAGTCCAGGCACTTCTGGACTGGCATATCTTGGCCTGGGTATCGGTATGATACTGGGTCTAGTTCTATTTTCTATTCTCAGCGATAAGATGCTCAAGCAGAAGAGTGGTGCGGCCAGACCCGAAGACCGCCTTATTCTGATGAAGTGGTTAGGTCCAATTACGCCATTGGGCCTTTTCATATATGGCTGGTCAGCCAAGTACGCCATGCACTGGATTGTACCAATCATCGGCACATTTGTCGTTGGATTCGGTTCTCTATTTGTGGTTATTCCTGGACAGATCTACCTTGTTGATGCTTTCGGAGCCGAGGCTGCTGCTTCTGCAATGGCTGCCAACCTGTTGGTTAGGTCTCCCTTTGGTGCCTTTCTGGATCTAACGGCATCGCCATTATACGAAAGTCTTGGACTCGGCTGGGGCAACAGCGTTCTTGGATTTATCTGTCTTCTGTTTACGCCAGTACCATGGCTCTTCTACACTTATGGAGAAAGAATGAGAACCCACTTTGTGGTGGACCTGTGATTGAAAGAAGTCCCAGATTGATGGCGACTGAGAAAGGCTGAATAAGCCGCACATTCATCCAGCACACACGCGGGAGATTGAAAGGCATTTCCGTATTACAACATTCACACATTAATTTAGATTCTCTAGACTATATATTAGAATAACCCTAGTAATAATAGATAAGTTTCATAATCATATATTTGCCCGCGAATGTAAACTACTTGCCTACGATAAAATTGACGTAATAGACGGATAACTGTATTACCCCGCATCGCGCTTATAAATGACAAACGCAAACAAAGTTACCAAAACTTCCTATTCTTCACATTCTATCGATCAAACCACAAGAATGGAAAACCAAGAGACTCCAACCTGCCGTTGGGGCATCCTTAGTAAGTGTTTGCTCTACAACTGATGCATCATCACGCTGACATTAAACCAAAGCCGCTGGCCTTATTTCATCCTGGTTTGTCTCAGACCTCGTCTCTCCCAGAGAAGATGCAAAAGCCAACCATGTCATTCATGCAATCGGTGCATCATCTGTCGAGAAAGGTCAAGTCTTTGTCGACAACTTCATGGCCGACGTCGAGATAAAGCCCATCTTGTACGGTACATACGAAGAGCTTTACAATGATCCCATGATCGATTGCATCTACATCGGTAGCCCTCATGGCTTCCACTACCGTGATTGCATGGCAGCTATCAATGCTGGAAAGAATGTTCTATGCGAGAAGGCTTTTACAATCAATGCTCGCGAGGCCCGTAGCGTCTTCGAGGCTGCAAAGGCCAAAGGAGTCTATGTTGCTGAAGCCATGTGGCTTCGTCACCGACCTATGATTGCCGAGATCAGAAAACAACTCTACGAGGACAAGGTGATAGGCGACGTTACACGAACCAACTGCGATTTTCATGCGCATTGGGACCTGGATGCTTTACCTGAGACTTCGCGACTCAAGAACCTGGAGCTAGGCGCTGGCACCTTGCTCGACATCGGCATCTACTCCCTCACTTGGGCCATAACGACACTTGATCCTTCAGCTCCTGCCGCCGGTGGCACAAAGGCTGCAGCAAAAAGTGATATTGGTAGCGAAAAACCAAAAGTCATGGCAACGCAGTCATTCAAAGGTGATGTCGAAGTGGGCACCAGCGCTATCTTACATTACCCCAGCAGTGGACGACAGGGAGTAATTACCTCAACAGGAAGCTCGCCACGTGGTGGCCCGCATTGCTTTGGGACTATCGAGGGCACTGATGGATTTATTGAACTAGAAGGGAATGCCCCCTCGCATCCCACTGCCTTCGTTGTGTACCCACGATGGTCTGAAGGCACTAAACCTGAGGGCAAACGATATGAATGGAGCTTGAAACCCCGGCAAGGCTTTCAATTCGAGGCAGACAACACGGCCTTGGATCTACAGGCTGGCCTAAAGGAGAGTCCCATCATGCCTTGGTCTGAAACTATCCACGTCATGGAGATTATGGATGAGATTCGACGGCAGGGTGGCACAAAGTACCCTCAAGACAATTAGAAGTATTTGGGCGGTCGGTGTATGAATGACAGTAGTGCCACTGACCTATTGAAAACCAAATCAATTCTATCCTAATAGCTAGACTATGGAAACTATGTCTGGCTTTCAATTGATTATTGTTACAGATTGGGGTACTACTCTGAGGAAACAAATTAGTAGTGCTTCTATCATCTTCTATTTATCGTCTTTACTCTGATCTTTTTATATCAGATATTAGACCCCGTTAAGACACAACTTGTACCAAAGATTTGCCAACTTTTTGCATTGAAAACTGCGCGTGATGAGTGGCTGGGAACGCTTCTTCTATTTCTGTTAAGTTTGTAACACTCTAACTGTGAGGAACTTTCTAGTGATGATCCGTTTAATCAGACTGTTCAGGGAACAAGGATTAGTTGGAGGCCTTGGTGAATTACAATCACCATACGCAAAGCCTGGGAAATCGAATACCAAGTGTCAGCTCAGCCTCAAAGGAATATCTCGGCATTTATTACCAACATCTAATTCGCTTACAAGTTCACGTGCCGCCCACTACGCCCCTTGGCCTACGCAACCACATCAGCACATCAGCATTGGCACAATCACGGTGATTTCTCGTTTAGGTAATACGAGGCGCAGAATACTATGTTATAAACTCATCTTCTTTGCTCCTCGGCCAAGGGAGAACCGAAGCTATCACGACATCAGCTTTCAAGATGAAGTCTGTTTTACCTCTTAGTCTTCTTTGTATCACAAGTGTAGTTGCTTCTGTTTCGAGACAGATTCAACTTGGTGATCTTGAATACTTTGTTCCACCTGAACCAGTATGGAAAATAAAGGATTGGAATTTCTCTGCTCCCGGTGAAGAGTTTACGCCTATCACTGTTGTAAACATCATCGAGGATCCAACGGGGCTGTTGAATATTTCTCATTCTTTGGAAGGGTTTGAGAAAGATGATGTGTGGACAGAACACTTCGCGAATGGTATGTGATATACACAACATGCAACTATAGCTAACAGTTCAGTCATGTACTATCAGACAGACTCCGATGACATTGGAGGGTACAGTACAAAATATAATGCCACATCGGTATACTATGCCAATGACTCAAACCCAGCTGGCCCATACTTTGTCCATCGTTATACAGGCAACGTTTATCAAGCTTACCGACTATACGCCGATACTTCCCAGGCTTTTATCCAAGTACGTTCTCTAATCAATACTGCCATTCAATCTTGAATACCTACGTCTAACACAGCTAGTCAACATATCAAGATCCCAATGGAACTCACCATCCACTCCGCGCAGGCATTCAATCCGCAGCAGGCCTAACCATCGCTGTCCCGTCGCGACTCTACTTCACACCCACTGCAGAAAAGCCGCTCGCAGGCCTCCGTATCGGTATAAAAGACCTCTTTGACATGAAAGGCGTCAAAACAAGTTTTGGCAGCAAAGCATGGTATGACATGAGCAAGGTCAAGAAAGAATCAGCCATTGTAGTCCAAAAGCTCATCGACGCTGGTGCTGTCATCGTCGGCAAGAACAAACTTTCAGAGTTTGCTTTTGCTGGTTTGTTCGTCACAGAGCATATCGACTATCTACTCCCGGTTAATCCCAGGGGTGATGCATACCAGTCTCCTAGTGACAGCTCAGGTGGTTCTGCTGCGGCCGTTGCATCATATGACTGGCTTGATGCGAGTCTAGGAAGTGATACCGGAGGCAGTATTCGTGGCCCCGCTGCTACCAATGGTGTTCATGGGGGTCGTCCAAGCCAAGATGCTGTTAATCTGACTGGTGCCTTACCTCTGTCTACCTCCATGGATACAGCCGGTATCATTGTCCGTGATCCTCGGATGTGGGCAAACATTGAAGATTTTGAGCGAGACTCTCCTGAAGCAGCAGAAGCTGTGAAAGAATTCTTAGACGGGCTGTCAAAACTTCTCTCAACAAAACCTAAGACAATCGACGTTGACAAACTTTGGGGAAATTCAACACCAGAAGAATACAAAGGTAGATCTCTAGCGGATGATGTCTTGACGCTATACGGCAGACTCTGCTTTTACGAGCAATGGGCCGAAATCGGAAAAGACTTCATTGAAGAGTACCAGGGTTCCAACAATGGCGCTTTTCCCTATATGGTTGACGGTATTCGTGAAGGCTGGCTAGATGCCAACAAAACCTATACGAAAGACACTTACAAGGATGATTTGGATCTTAAGAATACTATCGAGGATTGGGTCGAAAAGGAGCTTCTAAGTCCAGACAAAAAGTCCTGCTCAGAAGCTATCTACGTCTACATTTCCGTCGCTAGTCAATTCTATAAACCAGATGTTTCACAAAAGTGAGTATTTATCCCCGCATAGAGATGTTACAAGCTAACGAAGTAGCTTCGGCAACCCCTTCATCCGGGAACTTCTTCTTGAGAATACTGATCAAAAGGCTACCATCGCCCAGCTCAACCAAACTGTCAACTGCAACTCAACTCTTGGGTCGGAGGAAGCTTGTAAAGAGTCAACTACCCCCGAGCCATCCTTGAACGATACCGCAACAGATTTTCCCACGTCTCCGAATCGATTAGCCTCGATTGCGGGGATTCCGGACTATGCCATCACGTTGGGTGCGTTTGATATGGGAAGTTTCTCTAATGTAACACTTCAGAATCAGACGACTCCTGTGTCTGTAAATATCATGGCCGGAAGAGGTTGTGACTTTGTTATTCTTGATATTTTAGAAGCTCTACATAAGGAAGGAGTGATCAGGAAAGTCAAAACTGGTGCTGAGCCTTGACAAGCCGATAGATAGTTGATGTCAATCGTCTACATAAACGGAATGCAGAGTGAGGTTCAATAGGATAACAAGCCAATCAGACTCTAACAGTTCCTGCCAATATATAAATTGTACCATCGAAATTCAGACAGCGATTAAAGAAGATATCTTGCAGTCTAAGATATAAATAACATATTGGGTTAATCCGTGCTATTCCCAATTTGCCAATATCATGAAGTTTTGTGTTTGTTAGTGGCTTCCTGACTCATCAGCCAACAAAGGCAAAAAACAGGTGGATCTCCGCCCTTTCTGGACATGTCCGAGTCTTCGCCGTAACCACACCTACCTTTTCCATCTTTTATTCTCTATCAAAATGGAAGAAACAAGCAGGGATAATCAATTGTTTTCCGACTTGGATTTCTCTATATTAGGTATTGAACCAGATACAATCTCCCCAGGAATTCTTCAAACATCTGCTGCCCCGCCAAAAATCGGAAATCGTTTCTCATCTGAAAGCGTCAAGATCTTGAGGAATTGGTTTGCGGCGCATGAACGGCACCCATATCCGAGTATTCAAGATGTACAGGACCTTCAAGAACAAACTGGGCTCAACAGGCAACAGGTCGTCAATTGGTTTGCCAACGCGAGACGACGAATGAAAGTTCATTTATCCAGGCCGACATCGCCCATGTTTCGAAACGACGACTCGGGAAACTCTTCCGGTCATCACACACCCATCGATACCCCTAGACGACGACCTACGCCTGCGCCGTTTGAAGCCATGAATCCTCTCCAACGATGGGCCAATTCCCCCCCGGAACATGAAGCTGCTACTGTCGACGACATTTCTCGGGCTGTTGCGGCTTTCGGAAGACAGGGTCGTACGAGAAGCAACGGGTCATCGATAAGTAGCAGAGGAACATCTGTATCCAGTCATGACTCCGGATCTTATAGTTCTGTTCATTCAAGGCAGTCATCGAATTCATTCGACATTTTCAAACGTCACAGTCGTAGACGACGTACAAAGATGAGACGACAAGAAGTCAGAACAAATCTCCTTCAAGCGCAAAACACATACCAATGCACATTCTGCACGGAGACGTTCAAGACGAAATACGATTGGCAAAGACACGAAAAGTCTCTTCATCTTTCTTTAGAGAACTGGGTATGTTCACCAAAAGGACCAACAGCAATTCATCCCGAAGAAGGACTCCTGTGTGTTTTTTGTGGTATGAAAAATCCTGACAAGACACATCTGGATGGGCACAACCAAAGCGCATGCATCCAAAGGCCCATCGATGAGCGGACATACCACCGAAAGGACCATCTTCAGCAACATCTGCGATTAGTCCACATGTCCAAGTTTTTGAAATGGCCTATGGATGAATGGAAAGTCATGACGGAAGAGATTCGATCGAGATGCGGTTTCTGCGGTGTTGATCTTACGACATGGGCGAGTCGCGTGGATCATTTGGCGGATCACTTTAAAGCAGGCAACACGATGGAGCATTGGAAGGGTGATTGGGGATTCGAGGCCAAGATCATCGATAGGATTGATAATGCTATGCCACCATGTGAGTTTACAGAGTTTCCATGGGTTTCAGCGTGCTGACTTTTAGATCTTATTCATCACGAACGAAACTCGCCTTTGCCGTTTGCCGCTACAAAAGGACCAGCAGACACACCAACGAGCGCATACGAGCTGATTAAATTGGAACTGGAATATTACATGAGTAACCGTCATCAACATGATATGACCGACTCTGAACTTCACTTTGAAGCATGTTCAGTTATTCTAGGTGCTGAAGTCATCTCCATCAACCCAGCATCTTCGTCTCCGTCCTGGTTATGGGACATATTCATGTCATCTACTGAAATTGCCAACCAAGCTCGTCTACGTCCAACAAAACAACTAGCCGAATCGCGACTCAGTCAATTGAAGATAAACGGAAAGGGAAATATCTTTGAGAACTGCGAGTTGGAAGCTACCTTGCAACAATACATGGCGGCACATACATCCATGGGTCATTTTCCATCGGATTCAGAACTACAACAAGAAGCGTGCGATGTTCTCAGTCGAACAGAGACTTCCTCGCCAAATCCATCGAGAAGATTCCTTGATTTTCTGATGAGATTGGCTTGGAGTTCGACTGGCTGGCTTGCCCCGCTGCGACAGCGTGCTTCAGCTTTAGTATCGATGGCGAATGATTCAATGAATGATTCTTATCTCCTATGGGGACAGACTGATACTTCTGTGCCGATGGATTCTTCAATGGAATTGGATATTTCATTATCACAACCATGGATGACAGAAAACAGATCATTGTCCCCAGAAGGTGTACCTGAAATACCTGCGATATCAGTACAAACAGAAACAAGAACTTTAGTCAGAGACAAAGTTCGAACAGCAACTCCATTCTTTATAAATGACAACAACAGCTACCGAAGATTAAAGAGAGAATTGTCAAGATTCGTCATGACTACAATGTCACCCAATAATCCAAATCGTCATATTCCAAGCGACGATGAACTCAAATACCAAGCAAGATGGATCCTATACGACGAGTAAGTTTCCTGTTCCTTTCAATTTCACCACTAACAGTTCAGTGATGATCCGTGGAACCAAACACCAGTCGACAATGCAGAATGGCTGCAAGAGTTCAAACGTGATGTCGGCCTCCAAACTTAGCGAGAAATTGGACAAGCTCCCAAATTCCTAGCAACAGGCTCACTTTCGATGGAAATGTCAAAGTCAAAGATATCCAACGGTATACCCAGCGTGGTACAGGCGTTGGGAATGTCGACTATGCCAGCAATGGCTCCTCTGATTGGTGCACAGGACAGGAGGAGATAGATTTGTTCGCCAGAATAGCCTAATAATTAGCAATTGTCACAAACGGTGACGAGAATCTTACCAAATTGTTTAAGATATTCTATCGCACGGAGACAAGATTGTCGATAGGCGACCGTGGCGTCCATGAAATGCTGCTTTCCTTGCTCATCGACGGAGAATCCTTCAAAGGTAAGGTATCGTGAAGGACTAAAGGTAGGGCCCATGTCTCCTGGTCGGTACACTGGACTCTTGAGACCTCTTGACTTGACTCCGCCTTTGATGAGGTCGAATTTGATAGTGATGATACCAGCCTACAATGTCAGCAGGGTCAAAAATGGGTTCAGAAGACTTACCATTTCGATGGCACCACAGAAACTAATCTCACCATCACCCTGGCTAAAGTGAAGGTCTCCAACAGAAAACTTGGCTCCTGCAACATGGACAGGAAGATACGTCTTTGATCCTCGAGAAATATTGTTAATATCACAATTTCCTCCATGTTCAGGTCTTCCAGGAATAGTTCTTGCTCCTTCTTTTGCAATTCTGGCCAAGACATCACCCTTGGCTAGTCCACCGTGAGCATTAGTCTCGAGAGGGGGTTGAGCAAACACTTTATCAGGATGAGAACCAGCCATAGAAGTAGCAAGTTCTCCTTCACGACGATTCCATTCCGCCAGGATCTCAGCAGATGGTGCACAACCGAGAATACCAGGGTGAATCAACCCCGGGAACCGAACACCTGGGATATGACGACTCGAGCAATAAACACCATCGAAATCCCAGATTGCTTTGGCTGCGTCAGGGTAATACTCACTGAGGAAACCACCACCATTGTTCTTTGCAAAGATTCCAGTGAAACCCCAAGGTGAATGATCAAATGGTTGGATATCTGTGATGTTGACGACGAGTAAATCACCAGGTTCACTTCCTTTTATGTCAAAGGGTCCAGTGAGATAGTGGATCTTTGTGAGATCCACGTTAAGGACATCATCGGCACTATCGTTGTTTCCGATTTGTCCACCTGTCCAATCAAGACATTCAATCTTGACTGTTTCTCCTGGTTCGACAGTTGCGATACTTGGGACTGATTTGTTAGAGTGGTTTTTTATGAAGAGAGACAGACATACCCTCTGGATGCCATCTGTTGTGCAGATGAGGTTGCTCAGAGGCAGGAATATCGAAAGAGACGGACTGAGCAGTTTTAATTATGCGAGACATTTCTGCAATGATGGTTACTGTAGAATTAATTTAATTGATGCTCTTATATATGCAGTGAGTAGTGAGTATGAGTACAATAATAAAGATAATGATTGAGATAGAGAGATAAGATGATGCTACTTACTTATCATGCCGCACCGCATCTCCGCACGAGATAAGAGATAAGCTTGAACCGCACGTCGTGTGATGCGAAATGATACTAATTCCAGATAAAGAAGGTGGTTGCATGTCAAGACAGGGCGGAACTAGTGTGATCTTACTTACATGAATGTGAGGGGAAGAGGTCTTGGAGCGGGGATATATGAGGATGTCATGACGCGTCAGTTGCGATTATCAATAACCATTCATTCAAACATGACGGATATCGAGAATTACACTCTAGGAGACTTTCATCTTCAGAATGGCAAAGTATTGCCAAATGCATGGATCTCTTACAAAACCTTTGGGAATCCATCATCACCCGCAATTCTCTACCCTTCATGGTTCTCGGGATCCATCTCCGACAATGAATGGCTCATCGGCAAAGACAAAACTCTTTCTCCGGAGAAATACTTTATTATTATAACAGCTCTTTTCGGAAATGGGCAATCTACAAGCCCTTCCAATTCGGATATTACTCCTTTTCCTGATGTATCTTTCTATGATAATGTTAAAGCTCAGCATCAACTCATGACCCATTTAGGAATCAAGCATCTCCGCGCTGTACTCGGTTGGTCAATGGGTGCAGCACAGAGTTTCCAGTGGGCAACCCAATATCCTGATTTCATGGATATTTGCGTTCCTTTCTGTGGTTCTGCAAAAACATCTCTTCACAACCAGGTTTTTCTCGAGGGTGTCAAGTCTGCACTCTTAGCAGCAAAGGGGCTCAGCTCAGCTGGAAGTATCCAAGGACGTGTCACATCTGGATCATCAAGTGATACAAAATGGACCGACAAGGAAAAAGAAGTCGGTTTGAAAGCCTTTGGTAGAGGATATGCAGGATGGGGTTTCTCCCAAGCATTCTACCGAGAAGAACTCTTCAAGGCATTCTACAACGCTCCTGATCTCGAAACATTCATGCAGGACTTCTGGGAGAAGTGGGCTCTTAGTAAAGACCCAGAGAATTTGCTTGTTATGCTTCAGACATGGCAGAGCGGGGATGTAAGCAAGCAGGAGCCATACAACGGAGATTTTGAAAAGGCCATGGCTTCTGTTAAAGCGAGGATACTTGTTCTTCCCAGCAAGACTGATCTCTACTTTCCGTAAGTGTTTATATTGCTTGTTTGGGATAATTTACTAATTGTTTAGGCCTGAGGATTCAGAGTACGAAGTCAAGTGTATGGGGAGTAATGCGCAACTTGATGTTTATCCTTCTATTTGGGGACATTGGGCTGGTGGACCACCGGGGAATATGGAGGATGTTAAGTGGTTGGATGAAAGACTGCGAAAGTTGTTTGAGGAGGCACCTCAGAGGGATAGATAGATGTTGTTTATGTTTTCCAGATTCTATAGCACACATGATTTAATTTGAACCGCAATCTATTACTGTACACATCATCTCTCTGTATCTACCACCACTATGCTGTAATCTTGTGGGATTCTAGAATGCTTCCTTAAGGACATTGAGTCAACGTTCGCCAGCAACAGCCCCTGTCCCATCGGTCAATCTCCTCACGGCAGTTCATGTCAAACTCCTATCACGTGTACCCCTCTCAGATAACACCCATCCAATTGTCCAATCCCATCTCTTCAAAATAAACTTACAATCGCATGTCCAAACAAGGCGCAGACTATCTTTTTCCATTATCAATTACCCCAGCTATCAATTACTCGGTTACCCCAGCTTGTCAAATTAAGGCGGGCCTTAGCTCGACTTGTAGCGCTAAGGCGTAGTCTATTGTCTTGTCATGACAAGGCGGTTTTTTCCCCACACCGCCACCCCATGCCCAGAACGACAATCTTGATCAGATGAGCACTGAGTTGGGAGAATTATATTATGACTCGTGATCTAATGTGTATTTACTTGGCGAGTACGGGATATCGAATAGAATACGGATTCACTATGTGTGGTTGAGGCGGTGTAGAAGTTGACATGACTGTACTCAACAACATCCGTAGGTATCATGAACAAAGAATAACTACAATACATCTAGATATCAACCCCTCGATCGCGGGGTAGAAAACACGGCCCCAATACCGACCTCGCCGTTAGTTTAAACTAACCCCATCACGAGACTATTTCCATTATCAATCGTTCGTCCAGGGTATCATCGGCTATCTTTGTAAAGTTCTTTGTTCAACAAAGGCGTGGTGGCCGGAACAGTTTCCGGCCACGATAGTTAGTTCCGGCCTCAATGTATATAGAACAAGCCAATTCATTCACTTCGTATCTTCAATCAACTCAAAAATTCTCCATCATCAACAAAAATGGCAGCTGCAAACACCCTCTTCCCCTATCTTCGCAAAGACCCTTCTGAACTCCCAGAGGGTGAAGATCCTTTTACTATTACCACTCGTACAGGATACCTGCCTTTTTCTCTTCCTCTCGCCAAACTTCCATCTCAATTCGATCCCGTGTCGAATCTTCTCAATGATATTCCTATCCAGAAAGAGGACGGTACACCAGGTCTACTCGCCACTTTTGGTCTTGGTCCTGTTATAGACAATGGAGGTCTTCCTGATTTGACCTCCGAGATTGATAATCTCGTCGTTCCTGGCACTGATAAGAAGGATATGGCTGCCATCACTGCTGCGTTCCGCGATTATAGTTTTATCGCTTCTTCTTATCTTCTTGAGCCATGCTGGGAACATTACAGTAAGAGTGATGATGGTGGGTACGGTCTTGGAAGACAGACTCTTCCCAAGTGTATCGCTGGACCTCTTGTCAAGTGTGCAGAGATGTATGTTCCCTTCCCTTTCTGAATGACTCTCACTAACTAACTTTACAGTCTCGATATTCCCGCTTTCATGTCCTACGCTGCCTCGTACGCACTATACAACTACTGGCTCGTCCATCCCGAGCAAGGTCACGATGACTACAATAACATCCGCCTCGTCCGCGCCTTCGAAAAAGGTCTCGACCCCAAATCTTCAGAAGCCGGTTTCATTCTCACACACATCCACATGGTCGCCCAAACAGGTGGTTTGATCGAAGGAGCCGTAGACCTTCTCACAGCCACCGAAAAGACCGACACGGCTACCAAGATCGCCGAAGCAAAGGCAAGCTTGGAGCTCATCCTCAACAGTATGCAAATCATCGAGACCAACATGGAGGGTATGTGGAGTCAATCCCTTCCCAAGGACTACATGACCTACCGAACATTTATCTACGGCATCACCAAGCAATCCATGTTTCCCGACGGTGTAGTGTACGAAGGACAATACGACGACAAGCCTCAGTTCTTTAGAGGAGAATCAGGAGCCAACGACGCCATCATTCCTCTTCTGGACCACATCTGCGAAGTCCCCATGCCCAAGAACCCATTGACAGACATTCTCATCGAATTCAGAGAATACCGACCCAAGCCTCACCGCGCATTCCTCAAGTATGTTCGCGAAACAGCAGTTGAAGTCGGTGTACGAGATTTCCTCACCAAATCCGGTGATCTCGGTCTTGCAGTATTGTATCTTCGTCTATTGGATCACATTCGCAGTTTCCGATGGCGACACTGGATGTTTACTCGCGAGTACATCATTAAGCACACTCTTCACCCCACAGCTACAGGAGGAAGTCCAATCATTACATGGCTACCTAACCAGCTTGGTGCGGTGATGGATCTGATGGAAGAAGTTGCCAAGGGATCTGGTCTTTGGGCAATTTTGGAGGAGGGGGTGTGGAATGGAGGTGGTTCTTTGACTCAAGAGGATTATATCTTGATCAAGAAGATTATGGATAATGTTGTTACTAAGAAGGCTCAGTTGACCAAGGAGGTGAACAAATATTGTCAAGATCGGGGAGTTTAGACAGATACATGAATTGATTTAACTTGTTATTCTTCATCTTCCATTTAAAATAATTCCATGCGATTTATACTTTATACAAGTTTCATCTTGTCCGTTATATCCGTTTAAAGATACTCCCCAACTCCATTCTGCTCCGTACGGCATGACCCGCATACCCTTGCATCAACTACCGTTATCTTATCGCGCTGTCGATCATGAAAAATTTGCGCGCCAATCAAAGCAGATCGCGAATAATCCAATTTTCTCCAAATAAAAGATCAAGTGACGTAAATTAATCGGAACAAAACATCTGCCGATCCATTCACGGTCCGATTCAAGAGATAAAGATGGGGTCATAAATGTTCAATTGGTAATGTACAACTAAAATCATCGCTAATAAAAAATGGTCATTGGTAGGTATCGTCGCTTAAGCAATGGGTTCGCAGGTAAAGACACCGCGGACCTCACCGTGGTGGAACTTGAGGATCTAAGGGTTTGTTAGCGAGTGTGGATCGTAAAGATAACAAGAGGCAAACTTACAATGTCGTCAATGGAAGCGTAGGTTCCACCAACAAGGACAATCATGCCAATGATAAAGATCAGACCATTGGCGATGGCGAGGGGAAGGTTTTCCTTGGAGTACCAGGGTCCCTTGCAGATGAGCATGAACCACATAATGGCAGGGAAGTAGAAAGTGAAACCCGAGATGAAGAGGGAGGAGGAGATGGACAGAAGATCGTTGAAGAAGGGGATAGCCTCGGCGATGACGAAAGCAACAATGGTGATGACAGTGACGAGACCCAACCAAGTGATCCAGCCCATCTTGGTGTTGATGTAGCGGATGATGGAGTCCTTGAAGACACGCCCGTGAATGTAGCGACCAACGACTGTGGTGTTGATGGATCCAGAAATGAAGATGACGGGAAGGGCAACACCAAAGGCGATCTTGGAGACGAGGTCACCGGCAGAGAGAAGAGCGGGAGACTTGACATCCTGGCCGACAAAGGCATAGATGAGAGCACCGGTAAGAGTGTAGATACCAATCTCAATCAGACCAAGAGACCAGATAGACTTGACATAGTCGCCAGGGGTGTGCATCTCATCCATGAAGCTGAATTGGCAGACAGCAAAAGAGTAGGCAAAGACAATGTTGGTGATGGCGATAAAGGCGTCGGTGAAGCTGAGGTTGTCCTTGGGCCAGGCTGACCAGTTGACAGAGGACATACCACCGACGGAATCTCTGGCCTGAATACCGGTAGCGATAATGGTGATGGCGACAGCGAGGATGATGGAGACAAAGTCGATGTAACCAAGGATGGCAACCTCGGCGAATGAGGGAGGGATAGCGACAATGAGGAGGATAATCGCGGAGACGACACCAAAGACAACAGAGCATGTTCCATTATCGGTAAGGTTGAGGAAGGCGATTGTTCCTGTCAAGCAGTGGGATCCGACGAGGAAGATGAGTTGGAGAGAGAACATGACACCGACGAGCTAAGAATGTTAGAATTGAAGACATTAACGTATCGAGTAGCTTACCTCGTATCCGAACTTGCCAAACATGAGTTTTCCAGCATCGGCATAGTGAGAAACCTGGGGGTAGGCAAGCTTAACTTGACCGACGACGTGAGAAGTGTAGATGGCAACGAAGCCGAGACCGACAGTAAGAATAACACCAGCAACCATGCCAAGAGTAGCGAAAGCAGAGGGAAGCGACAAGCATCCAAGGGCAATAGCCTCGACGATCAAAACGACCGTCAATCTCTTCCATCCAAGACGGTGGAAATGGGCGTTACCCTCTGCAGCCTTTTGCTTCTCCATGTCGCAAACGGCGATCTCGCCTGCACTGTTGTCGAACATGTCTGGTACTGAGTGTCTCTTCTTGTCTGTGGGAGCCTGTTGCTCAGTCTGGTGAATTTGGTCCATGGTGATTGTAGTATGGGGGTTGAAGATGGAGAGAGAGATGATGAGAGACAAAAGGAGGAATGGACACAATATAAAGAAAAAGGCAAGATAAGAGGAAGAAACCGAGAATGAGGCCGATCTTTGTAGTCGCGGAGGAAGAGTCTGTGGGTCAGAGATATGGTCGTGTACGGTCCACCCGATGACTAGACAAGAGGCGATTCTTGCCTGGGCCCAGTTTCTGTGACATGTTGAATCTCCTCATCTTGGGAGAGACTACCCCAGACTCGAACGCTTCATCCCCAGGTCGTTGCATTTCTCTCTCGTAAAATGAAGCTCTATGCGGTGCCGAATCTCCGTCCTCATGAGGCTCGAGCTTGGATGCTGGTCTTTCGATTACATAAAGCGGGTCGGGAAAGAGCCTCATACGGGCATTTGCTTGGCTGCAGTCGGGTTTGCATTAGTCAAGAATACTCCCGATGGATTCTCCCCAGAGTTGGTCCCAGAAATGGTTCCAGTTGACATAGATTCTCCGCAAAGAGGCGAGAGATTAAGTTGAGGAGACTGCACGTTTTTACGTACACGTTACTGTTCCAAAATGCGGAGAGGAGGATTCATGTTGGGGGAGTTTTGAATCAAGTGCCGAGAGGCATCTTCAACACGCCAAGACGTTGAATCTTGGCCAGGTCGGCTCCGTGAGGATATCGCACGAGTCGGTACGTCAGTCGCATCCGAAGAGTTTTTTTCAGCGGCTTGGCCGAGTTCTGCTTGGCACAGAAACCACACGAGAACCCTTCTCGAAGGGTGCTAGCCAGGGGTGAAGGTGTTCAATTGGTTCGTGGGGAGATGATAAAGGTTTGCAGGGGCTTAATAGCGCCCCCAATGGTAAGCAAAAAGCATTGACCATGAGGGTTTTCCCTTTGATAGCGCGGCTGCGCGGGCGTTGGCGATGAATTCGGAGAATGTGTTATGCAGATGGTACGATGGATGGATGGACGGCTGAGGCGCGGCTAATCACTTGACTCGGGGGTGTGACTCTCTCTAACCTACAGAGGTTGGTCACTAGACGTCAGTGGACAGTTACTGGAATTTACTGAGCCATCACTGAACCGCCACTAAACCGCCACTAAACCACCACTAAATACCTGATCATCAACACCACTAAACAGGTGCTCAATCACTGACCCCAACTGTACTCCAAACTTCACCTCTCAAACCCTGGAGATGAATCTCGGTATTCGGCGTTTCCTTCCTATATAAACCATCAATGCACAAAAAGCATCGCCTATCTAAAAAGGCCTATCTTGATAATAATCCGTCATTGAAACACAACCGATTACTCACGTTGCTCTCACATTGGCTCGACAGATTTTTCTCTCGTAATATCTGTGGAACCGAGAAAAAACTTGCTGCTCACAGACCAGGTAGATCTAAATGGAACGAGTCAATGAAACTTTCCGTAAACGGCCGACCCCGGTATAAGCATTAGGAGAGTCAGTCTAGACTCTGGAATGTCAAGGAAAGTAAAGATCAGAAGAGGGTCAATGATGAATTTGGGGAAATTGTTCAGTTCTTTCGACGGCAGTTGATGGATCCTTGGCAGACAACGGTTGCACTATTTTATGCAGGCTGGCTCAGGGTGGCCCGGTGAGGTAAGATCCATGCCGATCAGCTGACGTAGGGTAGATGACGACGTGAAGCTCTCATTTTTGCTGTACAATGATCAATCTGTCTAATTTCTGAGACAATTTAGGTCTTACTATTAGTAGGTATTTTGTGTAATTGTGAAGATGTGTTTTATACTTTGGAAATCGGTAAAACCACCATTGAACGGATGCAAATACTCTGGATGACAACCGTTAAAGAACCCACAATAACGAGATTCAACGTTCATATGAGATATGCATAACCGTTCATCACTCCAGGATCAGGGTATGAGAAAACCAGTATTATTAACTCTAAACACTCGCTGGGATATCTTTTTACCACTAAACACTCAACTCCAGAAAGCAAATCAAACATCAGGTGACCCCATAACAACCTGAACAGGAACCATCAAGTCAATCTTGACATCTCCCTCCAGGACAACCTTGACAGTATACGCTCTTGAGACAATACAAGAGTGAAACGTCGGCACAAACATCTTATCAACAGTAGGTAACTCAAAAGGAAGTTGTACTGTAGCCGTGTGAAAGACAGGCGATGACTTTGTAGACTGCATATCCACATTCTGAGTCCACTCCATCTTGGTTTCAACCTTTGGCAGAGCAACTGAATAAGGATATCCAAAGTTGGCAACTTGTGATCCCATAGTAGGTAGATTTCGCATCGGTTGGTCTCGGAACCAAGTATGTGAATAAACCTTCATAGACGCCGATGTAATCTGAGGAGGAATCACATCCGCAGAAGAAGGCTCAAACGTGAAACTTATAGGAATACAAGATCCAGTCGCCTCATAACCCTCCTTGCTGAGATGTACAGCAGCAGGTTGAGCCGCCACAGCAGAAATCCGTCCTTGCGAGGTAGAAAAGATATTCTTTCGCACCTTTTTCGACTTTTCGATTTTGTAAAGATCGTCTCGTTCGGTGATGTTCAGGGGTGGTTCTTCGAAAGATGTAGGTATAACGTTGATGCGGTGATAGTTTCCAAGGATAGCTTGGAATCCGGTTTTGGTTCGTGCAAGAACAAATGCTTTGACGCTGTAGCTAACTCGTGCCATGTTTGGAGCCATGTCGTCTTTCTCCCAGCCTCCTAGTGTAGGAGGAAGAGCCATGTGTCGTTCCCATACATCTTCGGAGACGGTCGAGTGAGTGCAGGCTTTGGAGGTGAGATGAGCTGGGACGTTAAAAATAAAAGGAAAAGTATATGTTGTTCCAGCTGAAAGAATGTTGGATGAAGGATATTCGGATTCGTCGATGGGCATCTCAAGTCGAAGGAATCGATGGCTCGTCATGTGTGTCATATCAGGACCATCCCTTCTTGTTTCGCTTATTCCATCGAGAGAGATATCAACATGATCGAATCGAGTGTTTCTCGCAGGTGTAATAGAAACAACACCAGATACCTCCGAGTTGGTGGTGTACACCTTTGAGTTGAAGTGACGGTTGATGGAAATCTGTACTACAGGTTTCCTGGACATCTTGCCCTTTAGTGTAGCAGCCAAAGCATGAGCTGCTCCCCAAGGTTGGCAACTTCCATCTCGATGAATACCAAGATGTTCATACTCTGGAGGAGTTGTAGGTAGTTTTGCGACTTGAACGTCGACGTGAGACGAAAAGGGTTTTTCAGCGAGTGACATTTTGATGACAATATACTTGAAGCTAAACAAGTTGATGTGCTTAAAGATGTACTCCAAGATTTGATTGAATGTAACAAAGTTGACCACAGCCTTTATATATATATCAATCAATGTCTTCTCTGCGCCCTGCCGTGATTGACCCATTGTGACTGATCCATACCGTGTTAGCTTGACAAGTACAAGTTGTAGGGCGCATTTCGACATGCGCCGACTTCGGTTATCAATCAACGAATAGATCGATTACATCACCTTGAATAGTAGAATGTTGATAGTCTAAGCTTATTCAGATTTTAGTTCTCTTGTTGCTTTTTTGTACTATTTTATCTGATTGATAAAGTTCAAGTTGATGTCGTCGAAATCTCCAATTCTTCTACAGACCCACCGTAGATGTCTTGATCAGTGGAGCCTCTCATGTTTTGTACGTAAAAATCGAGCGATCAGTTTCTAGTCTGTCACTGGCATCAATATTGCTGAATATCTTTTGTTCTCACCATCATCAAATGGAAGCTATTCATCCGCGGCTGACATTTCATCCGACAACGGACATGATCAAAAGAGATTGTCTTAACCAAAATTATCACATTGACTCTGAAATTGAGTCACCAGACAATAAAAAAAGCCACAGCTGTTAAGCGAAGACTCGAAAGGTAAGTTTTGGCGCAATTCTCCATTATTAATCCACCAGCCCTCCATGTCTTGTCGACTACGCCCTGTGAAGTCAACGCCCTTTGTGTCAATGGCGCAATATGTACATGAATACAGTGTAAAGCAATGAGTAAGCGAAAAAAAAAAAATCTACCAAGAGGACCATGATGGTCTATGTCCAATGCAGTTAATGCATCATACACTGTTTAAGTGTCATGTGAAAAATATTTATCTTATCTCTCTTATCTTATCGTAAAAGTCTGCCCCGCGGTCAACACCACAAATTATCACCAAACCCCACGCAAACAATCACTCCCAATCAATTAAATCACCATGGCTTCAGACGCACCCGCCTTCAAGCCTATTCACAGCCTTGTACTCGATACAGGCCCTCTTATCAAGAACGACCCTCCTGCGAATACCCTCCGCGCCAAAGCCGAGCAACTTTACACTCTCCCCGTCATTATTTCCGAAATCCGAGATGCCGCCACTCGATCGAGAGTAGAGACGACTCTTCTCCCTTTTGTTACTCTTCGATCGCCCAAACCAGAAAGTGTCAAGGTTATTCGTGATTTTGCGCGCAGAACTGGTGATCTGGCTGTTCTCAGCAAGCCCGATATTGAAGTTTTGGCTTTGGGTTATGAACTTGAGTGTGAGAGAAATGGAGGAGATTGGAGGTTGAGGAAAGTTCCTGGTCAAAAGAGTGTGAATGGAAAACCGCCCAAGGCTGCTGAGAAGGAGGAGTCTTTGGAGAATGCTGTTGATAAGTTGACTATCGAGCCCGTCGCAGAGCCTGCCCAGGAGCCTGTCGAGCCTCCTGTCGAGTCTGAGACTGTCGCAGAGTCCGAAACCGAAAAGACAGAGATCAAGGACACAGAGGCGACTACAGAGACTACAGAGACTACACAGACTGCAGAGGCCACAGTGACAGAGACAGAGGCACCCAAAGAGCCCGTCACAGAGACCGCAGAGACGGCCGAACCCGTCAAAGAGCCCACAGACACCGAGTCACCCCAAACTTCCGGCGAAAAAGTCGACGAGTCCATCGAAGCCGTCGAAGAAGCCTCTGAAGACGAAGCCTCCGACGACGAAGGTGGCTGGATCACACCCTCCAACCTCAAGAAACACCAAGCAGCATCCGCCGGCGCAGCTCTCCCTTCAACTCCTGTCCAAAAAACCCTCCAAGCCGCCGTTCTCACCTCTGATTACGCCATGCAAAACGTCGCTCTACGAATGAACCTCAACCTCGTCGCACCCTCCCTCGCACGAATCACACATCTCAAGAACTGGGTTCTACGCTGCCACGGCTGCTTCAAGATCACAAAAGAGATGGACAAGCAGTTCTGTCCTACCTGTGGACAACCCACACTCATGCGCACAAGTTGCTCAACCGACGAGCACGGAAACTTCAAGGTTCATCTCAAGAAGAACTTTCAGTGGAATAACCGAGGCAACGTCTACAGTGTTCCCAAACCAGTTCACGGGTCCGCTAATGGACGTCTTGCCAAGCATGCCGGAGGACAAAACAATTGGGGTACGAATCTCATTTTCGCAGAGGATCAGAAGGAATTCACAAGGGCGGGCGAAGAGCAAAAAAGGCAGAGAAAGAAGGACATCATGGATCAAGATTATCTTCCTGATATCTTAACGGGACATCGATCTAGTGGCGGTGGAAAGATTCGCGTAGGAGCGGGACGAAATGTCAACTCCAAAAAGAAGCACTAGAGAAAGTAGACGAGAAGAAAAAAAGACTTGATTTTGAAACACTACTGTGTCTTAAACGCCCATGACCTAATACCGTAACGCCATGCGACTGATCCTAGTGTAGACTGTGCGATCTGTCGCAATTTTCCAACGAGTCTGATCGAGCTATTGAGCCATGATTTACCTCCACCGATTCGAAAGCCGCGATTGTTTTATGCTCTGAAAGCCATGATTGATCCCAGCGATTCGAGTCTTGGGTGGGTCGTCTGCAGAATCTGTCGATCGTCGGGTTTGACCGTGTCTTCGAGTCTATAGCCTTGAGTCGATCATCGATGCATTCGAGTAATTTATTCCTCCTCTGCAAAAGCATTAGTAACTAAAACTTTCATGTCTATCAATTCACATACTCTGCTGAGTCAAGAGAAGCTCGAAACGGCGCTTAAGAGTAACGCGCTGGCGCGACCACTTGTCGTCGGGAGAGAAACGAGCAGGGTGAGCAGACTTGGTGACCTGTCCCTGAGCGACCTTCTTCAAGGTGTAAAGGCGGTTGCCTTGAGCGTCGAGAGTGTACATCAGATGCATTGTGGCGGTTTGAGGAGTGTTTGGAGACTGGTGGTGGTATTGTTGTTGCGATTGTCTTGGGGTGAAGCTTCAAATTGATGCAACAGAATTTTTTGACGGGGCTGAGGTCACGTGCAAGGCTTATCGTTATCGGGACGCAGTCAGTGGAGACCTCTAGAAGCGGTATCCACTCAAATTACAGTATGCATTCAGATTACAGCAATTAAACTTATTCGCAACAAATGTTTATTCAAAGTAATTAAGCTAAGGACAGACGCAGTTGGCTAATATCCATAGATTTAATTTCATCCTCCTCTCAAACCCTTCTCGAAACGATTGTGCATCACTTGAAAGTAGGACTGACAGGCTCTCCAACTCGAGCACTCTTGGATCCAGCCCATCCCTCACGCTCGTAGAAACGAAAGACAAGATCATAATCCTCGAAATCGTGAACGATACGATCGATTCTACGATATCCTCGGACGGGATCAACAAGGCGCTTGGCAGCCCAGTTGGAAGGCTCGTCATCACCCATGCAGTATGGGTTCTGCGCAGCCCCCTTGGCCTCGAAGAGAGTCACGCTGAAACGACCGGGCTTGAAGATGTCCACCACGTGCTCAATGATTTCAGTGGTGGTTCGTCCACTCTGTCCACCGGGAACGTTGGTCTCGAAAGAAGCAAACGAACACTGGGGCTCAGGAGTGACGTGGACGGTAAAGTAGTGCTCACCCTTGCCTCCCTCGGCCGAAGAAGGAGGAGGAACAACACCGTTGGCGGAAAAGCCGCAGGGGCTGAACAAGTACGCGTCCACTCGGGCGTCGGGATACTGGGATGTTGGGTAGACGCTGGAGAGGCCGCAACTCTCCGAAACGACAGTTCCCAATGCGTGACCCTCGGTGGTGAGAGCCTCGACAGAGTCAAGCATGTTGCTGTCGACGTCATTGGCGAAAACGTCCACTTCGTCAACATCCTCGCCAAGTCCACCAAGACTATTGATGGCTTCCTTGCGAGCATTCTTTGCCTCGGCAGCCATCTTGTCGCTTGCGACCGCACTCGCGTGCGACAGATAGAACTGCTTGGCATTCTCCGGATCAAGATCGGTCATGAGGATTTCCAGAGTCTCGTCGTGGTAGGTACCAGGAATGGGCGCAAACTGGGTTCCCACGGGAATCTTGGTTCCTTCAATCTCGGACTGGGGAGTACGAGGAGGAGTAAGAGCCTGCTGATTGGGCGAGGTGAGGTACAAGTACCAATGATCACCGTTCATCTTGCCCACCATATAGGCACTGCCACCATCAAACATGTCGTCAAGATACTTGACCTCCTGCTTCCAGCTACGGTGAGGACCCTGCTGCCTATCAGGGAACAAAAAGTTCTTGCGACTGTAAAAAACGCGGTACGGGGTCGCGGCGGCCTTGATATCGTCGGCCGAATTGGCATTGTGGTATGGGAAACCGTACTTGGCAGCAATGTGAAGCATGCGCTGAAGACCAAGAAGAAGAGTGGTGGTTCCACAGGTCTTGAGAATGATCTTGTGAGGAAAGACAAACATGCTCGACTCGGAGAGAAGGTAAGCGTCCATGTTCTCAGACTCGAGAACAGACAAGACCTTGCAGTTAACCATGTCAAGCATGGGGACCCAAGTATCAGCAGGAACAGCCTTTAATCCATTGGCGGCGGCGGTAGGAGGCAGAGTCGAGGGGCTAGGAGCGAACCAAACCTCGAGAAGCTTCTCGGGACCTTCGAAGGCGTTTGTCGAGTCGAGGTCGGCGGCCACATCATGGTTGATTGTCAGATGGGGAGTGGCCGAGGCAGGCGAGAAGGTGCAGTTGTTGGGAACCGAAGCGGACAGCATTGTAGCGGCTAGGAGAGGTTTTCTTTGCCCAGATGGCAGAGTCCGCGGAGCACTAGCTGCCGCTCAAACAGACTATGCGGCGTCTGTTTGAGAGAGTAGGCCCACAGGTACGGGGGCTTGTTCAGATGCTGGCGGAGCCAGCAGCAATCGATTCGGGGGGTAGCTAACGTCTTCAAGGACGTTAAGGAGGACGGGAGCGGTTGAAGAATAACTTCTGTGGCGGAATTGTGCAGTT